TTCCAGTTTTGTGCTAGAGCCCTGATAGTGTCACTCACTGGTATGACTTACTGTGCCTTAGACATTAGCTTTTTACTCTTCTAATGATTGTAATTAGTACATTTAGCTATTTTAAATTAAGGCATTTACATTTTGCACAAACCCTAGTCTGCCTTTTATTATTAAAGGAGACTTGTATTTGTTATGTTTTTGAGACCACAGTGCACCCATGCAGCAATACTGACCTAACTCGGGTAGAAGGGATGTGATTTTATCTGAAAGTAGCCTATTGGTCAGTCACCAGAAAAATAGCCATTTTCAACATCAACTAGTGTTTTTTTAGCCTACTGTCAAGTACCACACATTGCCTGAATTTCACTATTATACAATCCAGACCATGTCAGACTTTAGTTTTAAAATATCAGCTTGGGCTCTGGTAACCTGTGATGGACAAATTCAGGCTAGACTTAATGAGTCATTTATAATCAACAATCCATACATGAATTGGCAATTCAAAAAAAGGTTGCAGCTATCATAATTCAGGCCGGCCTGTTTCTTATAGTTTGAGAACCTTTACTGTGTTAAGATAAAGAGAAGTAAGAGACTGAAATCACAGTGTCAAACATGGAGATGTATGAATAAACAAACAACAAAATGCTGTGAAAGTGGGACATTAAATGTATGTAAAAGCAGCAGTTACTCTTCCAGTCATGAGTCTGTGTGGTCTGTGTGTTTTCAGGTGTATGTGTTTGACGTTGGTGGAAAGACATGGAAGTCCTACAACTGGAGTATGGTGACGACAGTGGCAGCATTTGGAAAATATGATGCTGAACTCATGTGTTACGCTCACTCCAAAGGAGCGCGGCTTGTACTTAAAGGTAGAATTTGGGCTTTTTGCCTTTATTAAAGAGATAGATTGGAAAAGGGGGAAAAATCATTTCATTGATATTTGTTAAATTCATCCAGTCAGTGTTATAAGCAACCTCAAACTTTTGGTAATCTTTGATGCTACTTCTTGAACTGTTAAAAGTTCATGGCCATATTGTCCTCATAATGATGTCCATCTTTCTCTTTGTTTGTTTGAAAAGGTGACGTTCACCTACCCTACATTGTGGACCAAGACAACAGGACGGCGTGGATAACAGAGAAAGTGAACCTAGCAAAGAGTCAATTCATGGATGGGATCAACATTGACATCGAGCAGGCCATGGACGAGGGGTCGTCAGAGTACCGTGCTTTGACAGACCTGGTCAAAGGGACCACTGAGGCCTTCCACAGGGAGATCCCAGGTTCCCAGGTGAACACAATGTTTTCAACAAATGTCACCATAAAAACATGTAGTTTGGTTTAACTCTATGCTTTATTCATTTGACCTAGTGGCTTCTTTAAATGAATCTTATTCCTTATCTCAAGGTCTCATTTGATGTTGCCTGGTCACCAAATTGTATCGACAAGCGCTGCTATGATTACATTGCCATCGCTGAGTCCTGCGACCTGCTGTTTGTGATGTCCTATGATGAACAGAGCCAGATCATGGGGGACTGTATTGCAATGGCAAATGCCCCACTCTCTCAAACACTGAATGGTTTGTTGTCCAGTTTTTACGTTATGAATGAGAATAAATCAGCTTGTCAATGCAGTCAACTACTCATCACCACCTTATGCCTGTTATGTTTATTTTAAGGTTATGACCAGTTTTTGAGTCTAAAAATCAATCCAAAGAAGCTAGTGATGGGAGTGCCATGGTACGGCTATGACTACCCATGCCTTAACTTTTCCCAGGTAAGATACAGTATGTTTATTTAAAAGATAAATATAAAAAACTTGGGTTATGTTTTAGTTTATTGAGGTCTGGTATAAAATATGATACAAATATCCATGGTACCCAATGGATGAATCACTTTGGAGATAATCTTACTTTTCCACTACAGCCATCGTGAGATCAGAACAGTTGGTTTTAAGTGAAATGTCTTCACAACTTTGGACGGATTTCAGTGACATTCGACAAAGACTTTCATGTCCAAGTATGGTGATCCTTTAACTTTGTATCTAGCCCCATCTTCTGGTCGGAAAAATACATGTGTCGAATACCACTTATGATCAGCCTCATTTAGCATTATAATTGTGAGGAAGTTTTCATCATTGATGTGGTTTGCACGTTAGCACTAAGCACGGATGTTTATCATCACAGTGCCGCTGTGGCTGTAGTCCCTCATTCTTGTTTTAGTGTCAACAAATCCCATAAAATACCTATAATTACCATGAATTGATTCTACTTCCAAGTAGTGCCTGTGTAGCCAAAGCCTGATATATTTGTTCCCTTCATTGTTGTCCAAAAACTATAAAGGGATAATTTGAGTTGTTTGGAGAAAGTAACACGGGTAATAATAATAATACCCAACTTCAAACACCCACATGTACATTACTTCAAAATGACTTTTTTCAACTGAGTGGGGTGGCTTATTAAAAGGGTAAAGATGGATGTAATCGCTCAGTTTCCCCTTGAAATAGGCTGTCTCATATTATGAATATAGCGAAAACAAATACCGTTTTCTTAAGGATTCTACTTCAATCATTTATTTATACTTATTGTAATGTTTGAGTATATAGAAGTTGTTCTTTCTAAGATGCAATCACAGATATCTCTTAATGTCTTTACCCATACCAGGAGGGAGTTTGTTCATTAATGAAAGTGCCTTTCCGTGGAGCCCCCTGCAGTGATGCAGCAGGAACACAGAAGACATACAAGTGGATCATGACGCAGGTCAACGGCTCTTTGTCCGGCAGGCTCTGGGACGACAAGCAGAAAGCTCCATACTTCAATTACAAGGTGCGTTGTCTTTATTATATATTTTAACTTTGAATTCTTATTTAATTTGCTCAAAGATGTAAAGCTATGTTTGGGTTAGATATTTTAGTAGTTAGCAAAGTAGGTGCCAATTTCATGGTTTGTCTCTCTGTGTGGTCCCGACTCGTCTGACTGCTGCTCTTTTATTCCTGATAAGTTACGACTTCACAAGTCAGGCAGGGATTTCAGGCATGGTTTTTCCAGTCTGTTTGTCCAGAGGGCTGGCGTCCGACCGAGCTCCCACAGTGTCACTTCCCAAACAAAACAAATCACCCCTTAGCCATAAAACATTCCTGACTTCTTGTTGGCTTTTATACAAATCATTATAAGATGGTGCATCTTATTTATTGTCCATCATCTGTACTTCTAGCTGTGTTTCCGCAGGACCTTAAAGAGTACTTAAAGTTAATAATACAGTATACAATAAATGCAAAATAGAGGCCCTTAAAGTGTTAAACAGACTTAACCTCCATTTTATCAGGTAATACATTATGTAGTTGGTGTTCATTATGTATTACATAACACAAAATGTAAATTATAATAAGTATAACAAAAGGAATGAAAATATACTATCCTAACAACAAGGTTTTTTATTTATATTTATATATATCATCAATTCTTTTGAATAGGAAACAGGCTTGTGTTTCTAGCCCTCTTTTATAAAAAATATGACTTTGACCTAATATTTGTAATACATTTCTTGTGCTATGTTACCACTTCATCTATCTGTTTTATTCATTGATACAAGGAGTTATCATAAACTGAGACTTTTCAGTTGTGCTATCTTAAAGTCAATTTATAGTTAATGTAAGTGGAAGTTTAACACTGGTTCAACATGTTATTACTCAAAGTCGGGATGAGGATATGGAAACGTTGAAATGAAAACGTATTATGTTAACCTCAGGATTCTTGTTCTCCTTTAGGACCAGGAAGGGCAGATCCATCAGGTTTGGTATGACGACCCACAGAGTATTTGTCCCAAGGCGGAGGCGGTGAAATCCAAAGGTTTGAGGGGCATTGGCATGTGGAACGGAAACATCTTGGACTACAGCGATGAACCGGTCGCCAGGCAGCAGACCGCAGTGATGTGGAATTCTCTCTTAGGATGCTAAGAAGCTTGGATACACTTGACACGGTTGCAGAAATGTACATCACCCCTCCTGTTTGTTGCTAGGTCAATATAACCCTTTGTGGCAGTAATGGGGTGGGGCTTCCCTCTATTCAGGGATGCATACTTGCACTTCAGAGGTTATTGTGGCTTTTATTGGTGTTGTCATTGAATGTAGTTACACGGCAGACATTCCTCTGTGCAAACTGAAATAACTGATTCTTGGAAGAAAAGAAAAGACAACCGATCTTTTCAATGTGACACAAACAGTATTTTAGATTTTATGATATTGAGCTTACTCAGATTCCTGCACTTTTTTATTGCTTTATGCTTATGATCAATAAAACATGTTCTGATAATTCTGTAAGTTAGGCCCAATCCCAAACCACTCCCTCAACCCTACCCCTCCGTGACGGAGTGAACTCCGTCTGTAGCCACACTCGCAGCTGAATGAGGCTCCCTCCTGTCAGATGGAGGGAGTAAATACAGCGGCAAGCTTTGGGACAAACTCCCCTCTCTCCGGCAGAAACAGGAAATGCCGTAACTGTATGTAACAACGGTTTCAAATCAGCATCTCTTAGACAAAAAATGTAAATTAATAACTCAAATAAAACTCCAAACATCTTTCATTGTGTTACTTTTTTGTAAAGCTCTTTTAGTTTTAAACCTGATGTTTATAAGCTTCTTAGTTTTTGCAACAGTCTGTAAATATACACAACTTTATAATAAAATGCACACATTTACCTTTCTCTAGACTAATCACAGGTATGATCCTAAGTTAAAAAAATATGAGGTTATCATGAGATTGTTAACATCGCAGTTTATCAGTGGATGTTTGCTGGAACTGTTTGTAAACAGCGTGTTTCCTGACGGACACATACAGCGTTGAGACCGGTCAGGTAGAGACCGGTCTCCAGTCAGCACCGCTGCAGACTCGCTGTTTGAGGGCTTGATAGCCCACTCCCCCTCCACACCGCTCCACACTCGTTGGTTTGGAACAGCCCTTAATGTGGCGGACCCTCCGCGCGAACGCGCAAACGGAGGGGTAGGGTGTAGGGGGCGGTTTGGGATTGGGCCTTATTGAAGTTACACAACCAGTTAAACGATTTTTTTTACAGCACCTGAGGAAAGTCAAAGTACCAACTTAGTAATACAAATAATAATAAAAAGCGGGAAAAGTATCAGCACAAAACTCAGGTAAAAAAAAGAATGACATGTGGAAAGCACAGCTGCTTAAAATAAAACAAATCAAGTGCTGTCCAGTCCCCGCATGGTTAAGGCCAAACAACTAAAACAAGGCCTTAAATGGTATAAAAATGTCTTAAATCAATCGTTCAAATGTCATGACAATACAGGTTTTATGAATCCTTTTTGTCTGACATTGTAATATAAAATCTCTAAATAATTGGTAACCTCTATTTTTGTATATTAAAAAAAACCTGACTTGTGCTTCACTATAGCAGGAAGTGTTTAAAACCTGGCATGATAAATTGATAATTCTTGTGTTTTTTCAGTTTTGGTCCTGAATTGAATGGCATTAAAACAAATCCCAAACAGACTTTAATCTAGCTTGCCTTAAACAGTAGGAACCATGGTATGCACTGAATCAGATGGAGGTTCGTTGAGCCTGCGGTGTTTCCCGTGTGGTACTTCCAAATCCCAGAGAGGACATGGGGCCGGGATGAGAGGACTGACTCTTCTTCTGGGCCAGCTCAGCCTTCAGGGCCCTCAGCTCTGTGGCAGCCTGTTTCCTCAACTATCGGCATTCAGGAAAAAATAACCTGGTTTGTTATTATAATTCAGCAGATTACACAGTAGCTGTTGGATGTAATGAAGAACATTTACTCAAGTACTGAACACTAAATAGTAAACAACATTTATATGTGTGTTAACACAGACACTCCTAGATTTCTGAGAGTCCTGTCCTGTCAGCAGAGTTCATTCGCTAACGGCTAACTGCAGCTATACAGTTAGCAGCGGTTAGCCTTACTTTAGCAAAAAGGAAGGCTTTCTGTTCATCGGGAGACTTCGTAAATCACAGAGTTCAGGATAACTATAATCCCCCCACTGCTATAAGGCCATCCAACCTGAACAAAACAGCTAATTTAACGGATACATGAAATATGTAGAACACAGATGTGTGCAACAAAGCATATTTTTCAGATATGCTTCTTGGACAACTAGTTAAAACTTCCTTTGTAGTTCAACAGCTATACTTTTGTTCAGGGGTTTTAGAAACATTTAGGTAGACTCATATACAATCAGATACCTTTATCTCTGTTATCAGCTTCATCTTGGCATCCTCTACCTTCCTCTTTAAGTTGTCAATCTCATGGCTCTCCGTCATGATCTGAATGATGAGCTCGTTCTGAAATGAATGATATAAAGGCCTTTATCGAGAAGAAAAAAAAAGCTTGAAATTGTGTTTAAGCAAAATAAAGTGGGTTTTATTGAACTTAATTATTTCTACTTAAAAAGCACAGGTGTTCCATTTGAAAGGCTTGGGTAAAATGCATAACAAACTGTTATTTTCCTGTTAAAAGTAGATTTTATTGCTGTAATAAATGCATATTGGCAATTTACATTTTTATTTTAAAATGTCAGTGTTCCCAATTTTTTGGGAAACCAATCAATATTTAGTCTCTTTTAGGAATTAGTCTTAACAAACACTACAACATTTAATCAATATGTCTTCAGTTTTACCTTTATGGAAGACCTGCCCTGTCGTCTCGGCTTCCCTCTGTTATCTCTGGCCTGGAGCTGGTGCAAGAGTTTGTTGTAAAATGTCTCCAATTCCTGTCTTAGGTTTCTCAGATTTTCCTCCAATGGCGCTGTGGCCTTTTTAGTTTCAAAATATTTCTTCTTCCAACTGTCACGGGCTTTACGTTGAAGAAAAATTGCAGCAGAATTTAGTTACTTTTGAAAAAGTTGACCTATTAAAAGAAATTGGACTAACAATTTTACTTTCTCATATGTCGTCCACAATCTATCAAGTAAGGCTTTAGTGGCAGAACATGAATTAGTAGGAAATGAAATGTTCACTTTAAAACAGTTATGGTACACAAGGAACATGTATCTTTATTCTTGATATTCACTGACTGCTGGCAACATTAAGAACTTGATGGATGATTCCTTGTAAGATGTTATTTCTTTCTTATTCAGTTTTTTTTATTGCTCACCTTGGTTCCTGCGGTGTCTGTTTTGAGCCAATAAATCCTTCCCCTTTCTTAGCAACTCCTGCCTTGTCCACTCCAGCTGCTTTCTCTCCTCCCTCACCATTTTTATTTCCTCAATCAGTTCCTCTCCTAACACACAAACATGTCAGTTTGGATCAATACAAAATAAAAAACATGAATCCTTGGTATGAGGCCAAAGTGACAGCTTACTGTTTGTGTGAAAGACACGATGGATAGGTTTTTTTGGAGTGACTATGGGCAAGTCTAGTCCTTGAGGAGGAGAAGAGAACCCAGGCCGGGACAACACAGCAGGACTTTCTTTCACCTTAAAACAAGCAACAAACACAACAACATGAGTCTATATCTCAAAGGATTTTAATGGACTAGTCTTTATTCCTGTTCTTTGTTCACTTTAAAGACCTCCCACACTTCACTGACTAGACCCACCTGCTGGTTGTGGAATTTGGACTTATCACTACACCAAAACAACTTTCAACAAACTGGACATTTCCTACTTGTTTTAAAAGCCCTGTAAAATCAATCAAGAGCAACTTTTCTCAAAGTGTTACACTCAAGAGTACAGAATGAATGATAACTGATGCATGGGAAGAAGCTGGGACATAAGTAATGCAATACTTTACATCACTGCTTTGTTTATTCCTGATGTACTTCAGTGCATGTGCGTCTTTTGATTTCCCCAGCCTGCAAAACAACACACTGTTAGAACAAGCAGCAACCGAACAAACTGGTATTCACTGCAGAGTACAAGTATGGCTCTCAGTAATGCTGCTCAGTACCCATCTGAGAGAGAAAAGCCTGAATCTCTGTCCTCCAGAGGCTGGACGACTCCTGAGTCTCTGGCTCCTCTGTTCTGTCTCTGGTGCTGTTTCTTCTTTCTGCAGGTTTCTTCATTTTCCTTCACCTCATCTGAATCTGCCTCACAACGCTGTAAAGCTTTAGATGTATAGAGACTGAATAGCTGAGTATAGTAATGAGATCAATAGGATTAGTTTTAAAAGGGCTTAAAAAATGTCAATGTTAAGATGTTGGGTGGCCAATGTGATGTTCACATTTAATCCGAAAATAACTTTGTAATGTACAGTATAGTTTTGTGTTTGCGTTCTTGTGCGTTTGCTGAAATATGCTTTTTAAAGAACATGGGGATGTTGATGTTTTATATATACAAGACTGAAAAGCCATTTTCTTTTGACTTACAGTATACCATAAGGATATGGGTAACAAGATCTGTCCTAAAACATAGTGAATTTCAGCAGGTTTAAGTAACAGAAACCTGCACTTTTTTCACATAAAATAACTGCAAAAAACCCTAGATTTGGCCGATTTTAAGAGAGATGGCCTACCAAGATGAATGTAAAGTGTGAGGCACCACATTCGGAAAGTTGGAAAGGACAATGCTTTTAATGCTGCACAGAAAACTTCAGTATATTTTACCGTTATTTTGTGAAACAGGCTGTGGTGCCCTTTGATTGTGATGCTTCTTTGTGCAACATTGCTGCTCTGCCCACTCTAAGTTGGAAGACAGACCCTCTTCATTGTCTTCTTCTGCCTCTGAAGAACTATAGCTTTGCTCCTCATCTGCCTCCTCTTCTTCCTCCTCTCCCAGGCTGGGGGTGGGAGGTGGCTGATGGGAACACTGGGGGATGAGGGGGAATTTAACAGGCTCCTTTGTTCCTGCTAGCTGGCTGCAGGTCTTTGGAGGCTGGTAATAGGTCTGCTGGTCCGGCGAGCTGCTGCTGGTGTCTGGGGTGAGAGACTGGGAGCAAACACTGCTGTCGCTCTCCACAGCGGACAGCAGGTAGAGCTCCGGCTGCGGGGCCTGCCGACAGGTGACAGCAACACATTAGTGCAGCCAAACAGGAACATAAAGAGGCAGAGGTACTATTATTGACATCTGTAGATCACAGGATAATATGCAACTACAAGGTTAACAAACAATGACAAACAAAAAATCATTGTTCATACAAAACAAGGGAAAATTGTGTTGTAGATGGCATAAAATGGAATACAATAATATAATTTAAGGAATACTTCACTCACAAAATTACCATTTATATACCAAAAACTCACCCTTTGTTAATTTGAATTATTTCAAAGAACCTTCTTTAAACATGCCAAATAATATGGCAAATAAATAATCAAAACACTGAGAAAAGTCTTGATGAATTTAAGTAAATGACGGCCATGTTTACTGTAACAACAACCAAACTAAACCTAAGTTTACCAGCTTACCGCACAACTTGTGCAGTATAATTGCAGTGTCATTTATCCAGCTGTTTGCTAAATACTTTCCAAAAAGAAATTTTTTTCACTTTTGAAATATTTCCACACAAGTAGTCTCATGTGAGTTATTGATATGGAAATGGTAATTTTGTAGTTAAAGGTTAAACATGGCAACAACATATCTCTGTAATCCATCCACTGGGTTTGGAAGCAGAAGAGAAGAGTTATTTAGACATTTAGATTTTTTTGAAAAATCCAAATACTATTTTCTATCAAACCGAAAATATAAGGGATTTCAATAACAATGTAAGAAAAAAGCAAAATGGTAAGGAAATTATTTAAATTACATCAACCTGTGTTTAGTCAATACATTATGCATCAGACTATTCCAAAGAAAAACAATGTGAATTTGGACATGGATTCTACATACATACGGTGGCGCGAATGTCTTCACTTTAAGATCCCTCTCCTGATTGCTCTTGACCTGCAGTATTAAAGAATGTTGTTATAGAAAGCGTGGTAGTAAAAACGGTTTACACACACACACACACACACACACACACACACACACACACACACACACACACACACACACACACACACACACACACACACACACACACACACACACACACACACACACACACACACACACGCTTTACACCCTTTTGTGTCAGCACTGCAGCTTGAATAGTAAACTTGTCAATCCAACTGTCTGCCTCGTTTCTCTCTATTGTCTGCCTGGTGAAACACAACCAGCTATATAAAACGACAGTAAAACGCCAGCTGCACTCACCAGAGCTAAACTGCGCCCCACACATTTCAGAAAAGAGAATTTGTCGATGCTCCTCTCAGCGCCAAGAAAAGCTCTCAGCTCTGTCCTCAGAGTTTTCAGGGTGATATCAGGATAAACCCTGACATCACAGTGATGAAAAGGATATTTTAGATATCTGTTATACAACATATAATTATAGGTGCACAAGACATTGAAACAGAACATGAGAAACAGTCAGTAATCTTCAGTGGAATAGAAAAATGCTTTCAGGTTCTTCAGTTTCAATATGATTAACAAATCAGTATTTGAAAGCAGTAATGATGCAGGTGAAAGGTAAGTACATTTGAAAACTTTGAGATACTGAAACGTGAAGTAGGCTATTCTGAGGCTGTATAGATTCATCCAACCAAAATTCAGAGAAAAATATGATGCTTTTTACTTCACTGTGTTTGTCTAGCAGTTGTGGTTACTTTGCAGAATAGGACTGTAAAATATGTTAAAACTGTTATAGTTTTATATATATATATATATATATATATAGATAGATACAGTTTACATCAGCAGTTCTATATCTGTAACAATCCAACTGTACACCACCTTAACCAGCTGCAACAGACTGTTACATGTCACAACAATAAATAACACTCAAAGATGTGTTATTACTCCTTTACCTAAAGTAAATATGTTTTTTTCATGTTCTAATGCAGCATTTGAAGGGAATTTGAACACTTAACGTTGCCATTTAAACATAGTCAGTCAACAGTAATATCTTCTGAGTTTGGTTTCTTGCATCAAATGAAACATGTGCAGCAGTTTCACCTGATGAATCCGGCAGATATGAAGCTCTCTATGGCTTCAGCAGGGACTTTATTCAGCTTCACATTCCACTGGTCACCTGGCACATACAGCACATGGAGCTCTAAGAACTAAACACATACAACACATTTCAGTATACTTTCATTATGAGCAGTGAAAGTAAATTGCTGTATTTGCTTTTATAATTAACTTTTGTTCACTCTAATACATTCACATTCCTGCAGCATACTACGACTTTTTGCAATGATGCATGGATTCCCTCACCGTACCTTGCAGCTGGCCGGTCTTCTGTCCTCTGCATGTCTCACTGACTCACAGGACAGCTGCATTATCAGTCCAGCGCAGCATGAAGAGAAGCTGATAACTCACTAAATGACGGTAGATTTTGGTTAGGTTTATTCGCAGTAAGCTTTGTTTGTGTTAGCTGTGAAGGCGTGGACTGCTCAGTTAGTACCTATCTGGTGGATCAAACACGGTCCCGTGGAGTTTGTTTTATGAGCGTGCCAGCGCTGGTTGCTCTGGTGCTGGTGATGACAACTTGTGCAGAAAGAAGGACCAGAGCCCGCATTGTCCACAAGTTGCTTCGGTTTTGCAGTTATATTCAGAATTTGGACACATTCGTGCGTTTTTTTTTATATTAATGAACCGATTTCGAAAGTTGAATAGGTATGGAAGTTAAACCATTTTACTTTACATTATTTTGAATATAGCCTACTTAAAAATTGGAAAATTGTATATAAAGACTTGGCGACCCGTCTGTGGTTTAAAGTTATCTTTACCCACACACAGATGTTTGTTTTATTTTGTTCTTAATCTAATTTACTGCTTGCATAACTTTTTCATTTAAAGACACCTTTTATAAATAATACCGCACAGGATAACATTCAGGTTTAAATGTAATTTGGGTGTCTGACTGTGATAATGCTTCATCACCACTAGTGGTCGCAATTTTGTTTCATTAAGCTTTAATGCAGCTTTCAAGCACACTGGAGGTCGTCGTAATTATAATTTTTAACGATACAAAATAAAAGTCCCCGCCCCCCCAAAAAAAAAAAAGATATTTATTTCAGTTTTGAAGAAACCACAGAGTTTACATACGTCAACAATCGATAATAAAGACGAGGTATAAGACACATTTTGGGTGATAAATTAACCAAAGCTTTAGTAATGTAAAAACTGCGCTTATTTCTTTCATTGCTCTGAATTTATAGCGTACATAGTTAGGTTGAGTTCCAAATAAACTATAAAAACTAATCTGTACATCTTCGCAATGGCATTTGGTGTAAATTCTATGTTATAACTGTGGGGGGAATAAAGTGAAAATATTATTTCCATTTGAACAACACTCCCTGAAGGCAGCACCGACTGACACTCCTTTAAAGAAAACCGGAAACTCTGCGATGAAGAAGGAGTGGTCAGCAGGCTACATACCAAAAGCGATTTGTTTGTAAAAGTTTCTTAATCGTCTTTATTAAAATCACAAACCCTCACAATCTTTACAATGTCGGGCTCATCGAGCATTGTGGCGATGAAGAAAGTCGTCCAACAGTTACGTCTCGAAGCGGGCATCAACCGAGTAAAGGTGAGTTAACGTCACTCTTTAGTGTTGTTATTTGTTGCTAGTTTCTCTTTCTAACACAGATAATGTCGTTCAACTGTGTAATTTGAATTTTTAGGATTGCTGGTTTATTAACTCTCCGGTGTTGTCTCCCACAGGTGTCCCAGGCCGCCGCGGACCTGCAGCAGTTCTGCCTGCAGCACGCCCAGCAGGACCCTCTGCTCTGCGGCATGGCCACCAGCACCAACCCGTTCAGACCGCAGAAGGTCTGCTCCTTCCTATAGCACCAACACACCTGCAAACCCTCTGCCTCTGTGAGTACTACTGCACTCATTCTGCTCAGAAAGCTCCGTCATTTTCTCCACACATTAGTAATGTTAAAACAAAAGCAAAACGTATAATAGGGACTGTATACAATGTGCTGATGTGCTCTTTCAGTACCATCATTACCTACTGAGGAGGTAATGGGAAACAATAAGATTCTTACGAGCCAACCACTTTTTTGTTAAATTACACTCTTTAGCCAAAGGCCTCAACCCTTTATCATGCAATTATTGTTATAATGAAGTCGCTTAGGAAAAAGGAAATATGTTTAAGACTGCACATACAATGTCAAAAAGCACATTATTTTCTTCATTGGGTTCTGGTTCTTACACCACATACATTTGGCCTTACTAAGGACACATACATATTGTAGTTTGTAATTCTGTCAAATAGTTATACTAATAGTCTTGACAAGGATTTAATAACGTTTCGATAAAAACTAAAGTTAAAAAAATAACGCGGTTAACCCACCTGTAACTGAGATGATGCCAACATGTTGTATATTTATCAATGTAATAAGTATTGAATTTAAGTAAAAACCTGCACCATTATTACTCATAGCTTTCAAAAGATTGCAATTTATAGCCACATTGTTTGCAGTATCTTAGTCGACTTCAAAAAAACATTTAATTTTCACACAGCTTCTTTTTATGCTCCACTCTCAATCATCCTGTTAGAGCCCATACACTTTGGGGACAATTGTTGTATCTTGATTTTAGGTGTACAGTACTGCAGTATCTTCAAGTAAAATTCTCATTGGGTCCGACTAATGCATGTGACATTCTTGCAGGTTTTTGGACATTGTGAAGCGTTGTTGGACTTGCGCTGTGGACTGATTTGTCTCAGGAGCGTATGGGAATTTGGGAACAAGAAACTAACCTAAACCTATGGTGTTTTTTTAAAATGGTTGCCTTTGTAAACTGTGATAAAAACATTTCCAGGTGCTTATATGGCACAATACAAGTCTTAACCTTCTTGCTTGGAAATAACTAACGCATATCGTGCCTTTTTGAATTGTACATTTTCCATGCCTGATTTTTGAGAATAAATAAATGTATTTTCCACATGTTTAAGTTGCAGCAACATGTTTTATTAAAATGAGTATTTACATTAAGAAACCTGTGAAATGCGTCTTATTTTAAAATCTTTATCAAATACTAAAGCACTGTAGACACAATTGGAACCATCTACCAATTTCCAGACACTGTTGCACTTAATTCACTGCTCATTATGTTATTTACACAGGACGTAACAGTATGTCTGTATGCACTACAGGTTGTGACCAGGAAAAGCTCCCATTTTCTGAATTTAATTTGGGTCACATTCATTACGTTTCGAGATACATTTAAAGGAACTGCACATCCATTAATGAGTTTCACACACAGGTCAAATTGTTCAGGTTATTGGGTCCATGTGGAGGGCTGCATTTATCCTCTGTTTGTCTGCCAATGTGTGAAAGTCTTTACAACAAGCAGCTGTCCCACACTTGGTCTGCAGATACAGCTTTATACAGTAAAGGTCCCTTTCAGGACATGTGTGAATCTAGCATGATGTGATCTCATTAAATCCAGTGATCAAAGCTTCACATCAAAGTAAATGGTTGTCCACAAAGATCCGGATATCCACTATAAAGTCCATTTGCCACAAACGGTAGTCATTTCTTGGATAATATACACGGCCGTCCTTTCCTGACCCAAAGCGCTGGATGTTATTTTGCACTTAAAGCTGGAACTTCCTTCTGCAGGCATCCATCTCATGGCGCTGGAAACAAAAAAAGGGTATTTTTAGCTTTACAGAAAGAGACTGGGACAGTACACCTATTTTACCTCTCATTTTCAAGTCATTGAAGTTCATTGCAATCCTTTATGAATAACGGAAAACCTGGCAGCAAATCAGTCTACCAAATGTATTCAAACATCAATACCATGCAGATGGCACAGAGCAATTTACTAATATTAAAGTGCTGTCTAAGTTTCACTATAACGGCTATTTTTCAAATAAAAGTAAACACTGAGAGACTAACCTTAAGGACCCACTCATACTCTCCAAACTTTGAGTCAAAGGTGCCTTTCTGGAGAGAGCGGAGTTTGAGGGTGAAGCGAGGGCCGAGCTCTTGAATACCAACCCTCTTCTCATTCTTGAAGATGTACCTTCAGAAATACAAATAATTGTTTATTAGACACTCTACATTTAAGATGCAATGGATTGAACAAATACAAAAAAAAGGTAATGTGTGATATGAATAGGCATACAATCAGAATTACTTAAGATAACTCACCTGTGAAACCTGAAGAAGATGAAGTCTCTCTGGTTGTGGAAGGTGGCGACCTGTCGACCCACAAACTGAGGGTCCTGTGGGAAGAGGGCAGCGAACAGCCGGCCGATGCTGTGGCCCAGACGTGTGGTGAAGTTGTTGAGGATCACCTCCGGGGAGTGTTCAGTTGGATCTTTGCCTCGTCTCTGCCGAGGGAAAATATAAGTAATGATGAGCAACACTTGCTCTGTATATACAACTAGAAGTACAGCCTTCGCTTATCAGTCAGGTTACAGTTCACATCCATTTCTATCCAAAATGGTATCACCTCATTTTATGCTACAAGAATTTTTTTTGCAATGAAGTTGAAGAAATTCCCAACATGTGTTACTGAGATTACACCTTCACAAGAAATGGGAACGACCCCAATGGAAAGGCAGTATAATACATTGAACACTGCAACTCTTCTCCTACAGTCAGTTTTAAAGAGATGCTTATTATTGTCATGGAATTACAAATGTGCCATTTAATCAAAAACAGAAACAAAAGATATCCACTTGCCTTCATCTCCTTGCGCAGTCGAACGCTGCTGATCTTGAAGTGTGCAGTTGGCCCATCAGGAAGATGACAAAGAACCAATCCATCTTAAAGTCATGGTTAAGGAAGGTGACATTAAAAAAGGTATGAACAAGTGAGCTAGAACTTTGAATAGCTTGCCTAGTTATAATGCCAGTGTAGAGCTATTTCACTTATTTAGATACTTATAAAGTTTTACATTCAACACTCAGCCTTCCCCTAATATAGTAGTCTCTATAGTTATTTTTTTTAACTGAAAACAGGCCCTTCAATAGTGTTTTATTAGCAGAGTTTATCGATTTTTTTATCTTCATGGTCTACTGTATATTTTGTACTTTTTAGTGCCGTTTATTTCTCTTTTGAGATGTTTACATTTTGGAATTGTTTATTTCTACTCATGTGCAATGCCTTGTTTGGTTTTGTATGCTCCTGCAAAGCAAACATTTCCCAATTTGGGATCAATAAAGTACATCTTATCTTTAAAAAATGTGATCAAAATCACATAGACTTAATTAATAATCTAAATAACAGCAATGAACGTTTTCATTTCATATAGCACAGTAAATGTCATGAAATTATGAGCTGTATTATTTTATGTATGTTTTGTGTGTGTGAGGACCCCAGGAAGAATAGCCAATGATCATGCTAGTGCTAATGGGGATCCTAATAAAGAATAAGAATACAAAATAAATACTGGATTACAGGGATTAGTATTTGCTGCCTTTGAGGATACTGGGCATTTTGCGATCCTCATTGATGACCATGAGGTAGGTGAAGTTCCTGGCGACACACTGAGGGATGATCTTCTTCAGGGCCAAACCTCTTCTGTAGTACACGTGGGCGTTCGGGACTACTGTGGCCAGCTGCTCACAAAATCTCACCGTCCTCTACAAGAAAAAAACATTAGAGATATCAAAGTGTTAATAAACTGATGACGAGTAAGAAAAAGCCTAAGCAGACTCCAATTCCCACCTCAGTAACAATTCACAAAGCACCTCAAATGTCAATTACACACACACACTGGATGTTAAACAGCCTCAACGTTTCATTATCTGCTGCGTTATGCTAACCCAGTTTATGTACAAAGAGCAGACAAAGACAAAGCTTATCATTATTTAGTAACTAAGACAGGTTGAAGCTCCTATATAAAAACTGCCAATAAAGTGGGGCTGAAATAAAGTACATAGTCCAGTTGTATTTTTTGTATATACATCAACACAATATAGGGGCATAGTATACAAGTGTTTCCAAATCTACCAGTAGAACATCATAAAAATGTATTTCATCTAGTAATAATAGTATAAGTAATAAGTAACTAGTAATATTCCTTGCAAAATATATCAGAAGTGCTGTCATTGTCATTTTATTGATTTGAAAAAAATGAATTTGAGCTCCAGGCCTAATTTCCTTCAAGAGTGTGTTTTTTTTGCATTTTGATATTGTAAAGGGTGACAGGTTCTGGAAACTGAAAAGAGTCAAAAGTAATAGACATGTATGATGCCGGGCAGCAGCCACTCACCCCTCTTGGTCTGTCCGATGTTGTGATGAGCACTTTTGGGTTTGTCAACCCGTTGAAATAGGCAGAAAATTCATCAGTTCCCTCGTCAAATGCAATCTGCATGACAGGAAAACAAACAAATAAATGCATATTCAGTAACAATTTAACCTGAGATAGTTAGAATAAGCTCAGCCAAACTCGCTCCTCACCTCTTCATCTTCTGGGTCGACTGTTGTCTCGTCGTAAACCCTCTGGTTTTCTATCGTCTTTGGGACTTCTTTAGGTGGTGCCTACATGAGGGACAGAATAAAAGATACAATTAGTGCTATTCATGTTCTCACCTTGCTGAATGGTATGATTTAGAGGTAACATAACAAACGTTTGTAATTCCTTAAGAAATTGAACAAAATAGAGAGGGTAAACAAACTCACCTTGTCACCTAAAGCTTCCCTTTCTTTTTTCTTCTTTTTCTTCACTTGCAACTTTAGCTGAAATATGAAGAAATAAGACATATTAACACTGAAAAAAAAGTACATTAGATGTTCAGTTTAATTATATAAAGCAGACATAAGAAAGAAACGAACACATTTGAGAGATTGAAAAGAACATTTTATACAATTGTGTTATGACATTTGTTGACAATGTTATTTTTCTGTTAATAGAATAATCATACAAGTAAAGTAAAAGTGTAAAATGTGCACAGTACAAACACATATTAACCGACTCACTTTGAAACATGAGTGAGGAGAGTCACACGATTAAAAATACCGAAAAAAAAGTTAAATCAACACCACTAAAAGAAGAGGTTTTACCCAGACCTGAACCTTCAGTAATGTAGTAGGCTACTAATAGCAGGGCATTTTATCTGACTGCATTCGTTCAAACTAGGTAATACCCAATACAATGGCAGCTATGTGTGATTTACTTGCTCAATGACAACGTAACTGTGTGTTTACCTTGCTTTTCTCCAGCTTGAATTTCATGAACATGTGGTGTCTTCGCTGTTTATTCTTGATTTCGGACACACTGAAGGTGGGGGGGAAGGCAGCCTCGCTCGCCTCCATCTTCACCTCCAGCTTCGGCTCCACTGCATTTCGCTCCTTCGTCACACTCTTGTTCTTTGGCTTCTTATACTTATTTTTCTTACCTTTATTGTCATTACTCACGGGAACCTCTGTAATGTCCATCTTGTGTCAGATGTTATGGCTGAGTGTTTCACGTGTGTGGAGCTGGTTTCCTGTTCGTGGCTCACGACTGGGGACCGGAAGTGACTGAGTTGTGGATAAAAAAAATCGCGAGGACACCTAGTGGTGAGGAGGAGTAAGAACAACTCAAAATAATAAATTGATAGAAAAGGTGCACTGGTGTAAAGTAAGTAACTAAGTACATTACTTACTTTTCTTAAGTACAATTTTGACAGACCTGTACTCTACTTGAGTATTTCAATTTGTTGCTACTTTGTACTTCCACCCCACTACAATTCAGTGGTAAATCGTGTACTTTTACTCCACTACGTTTATTTAATATATTTAGTTTCTTTGCAGATGTTGTTTGATGATGTGAAATATAAACTACACTTAAATAAGACATTCGTTACACCTGCATTAACATTCACGAGCTACCCTGCAGTACAAAAAGTGATTAAAATAAGCTGCACCTTTACCAGCTTGTCCGGCAGTGGCTCAGTCAGTAGGGGCTTGGACTGTGAGTCGTAAGGGTAGGGTTGCCGGTTCAAGTCCTCGACCAGACCTAAATATGGAGTGTGGACTGCTACTTGGAGAGGTCCCAGTTCACCTCCTGCCCTGCTGTGGTGCCCTTGAGCAAGGCACCGGACACCCGGTTTATCTCTATTAATACCGTTACTATGATTATTCTTATTTTATTTTTTTCATATTATCATGTGGACTATCTGTGTTTCTCTCTTATTCTGTTGCTGCTACAGTAGAACACCTAGATTTCCCTACTATGGGCATCAATAAAGGTCCATTTTATCTTATCGTATAGTCACATTATAAGTCCACACAGCGATTATTAATATGAAACGTTGAATAACTTTGGATATACATGTACACATTCATTAATCTTCTTATCTTATTTAAATAAAAACAACTGCAGCAACATGTACTGTAGAGTTTGAAATGTAATATTAATTTATTCATTAATTTCATCAAAATGTATTGTATTGTATTTGCATGGAAATTAGTTCTTAAGACATGATTTTGAAAAAGTAAAAACTTTGTATTTTTCATTGATTAAAATACAAAATACAGAATAAAAAATGTTCACAAACATTCACCAAAACCTTGCTTTGTAAACCTTTTAAAATGTAAATCTTACAGTGGTATAAGTAATACATTTACTCAAGTAATGCACTTTACTACATTTTAGCAGCCAATATTGTACTTTATACTTTACTACATCATTTGGCCCCTTTAGTTGGTTACTTTATAGATTCAGAATATTAGCTAAAACAAAATATAAATCAACTAACAATAAAATATTAATATTTTTTATTTTTAGGTTGAGACATCCTGATATACAAAGTGATTCAAATTAGCTCCAAATGTACCAATTGTGATAAACATTCATCAATAATCATAATCCAGTCATACAATATATTTTATTCCGAAATACGCCATTACGCATATTGAGTACTAGGCAAGGCAGGGCAAGTTTATTTATATAGCACTTTTCAACACAAGGCAATTCAAAGTGCTTTACAAAAATGAAAGACATAAAACACATTAGAAACATTAAAAAGCAAAGATAATAAAACATGAATAACACAGGTACATGAATACAAGTTACAGTGCAGTGTAAGATGTGAATAGTTCAATTAAAAGCAGCGGCAAAAAGAAAAGTCTCTAGCCTGGATTTAAAAGTAGTAAGAGTTGCAGCGGACCGGCAGGTTTCTGGTAGTTTGTTCCAGATATTTGGCAATATCCCTAACCAAATTCTCACATTCCTCTACCCCTAGACCACCTGTTTAAAGACGTCCCTCGTGAACTTTTCTTTACTATTAACTTTTGTTATTTTAACTATATGTTAATGTGAATAATTGTTCTACTTTTACTTAAATAAGATTTCGAATGCAGGACTTTTATTTGTACCAGAGTATTTTCACAATTTAGTGTTGCAACTTTTACTTAAGTAGGTACAAGATCTGAGTACTTCTTCCACCACTGGTGATAACATTCTTGTTTCTTAGTTCTGGGTATTGCAGATATATTTCCATAAAGTGGTGTGCGTTTAAAGTTCAGAAGAATGTGGAATAACAGGGGATGGACATGGTTCATACATAAGTTTTGATTGTGGTCCAGAAAGCTTTTGCAACTGCAACGTCTTTAATGCATATTGCTCCTCCACCTCTATACTTCTGACTCTCATGCCTGTTCAAATCAGCAATGCAGGTCCATCCACTAATAGGAGCCACACACCACTTGGAGTGATCTTGAGTATCATTGTAGACCGTTTCCAGGAGTTTAACCTTCTTTACGTTGTACACATGATGATGCGGTGTGCTGCAGTCAGACGGCAGCAGAACTGAGCGACCCTTGTTTCCCCAGCCTTTCACGTACAGATTCTCCTCCATATCATCCACAATAAGGCCAGAATAAAGATCTACAAAATAATTTAAACAAAACAAAATACAATTCTGTTATCAATTAATATTAAGAAATTCAATAACGGCTCATGTGGTACACACTTTTTGCAACAACAAATCCAAAAGTGTGTTATTACTGACTCCTAATTCATTTCTTTTAAACGTTCACTTACTTTCATAATGCTGTTACTTTTATTCACCATATAAAAGTAATGTTTACTTATTTCATCTGATAATATCAACAAGTGCTTCCCTATTTTTTTTTAATGTTAGTCTACTCATTTTATTTTAACATTCTTATAAATGCACAAAAAAATCTTATCCTGAAAACATTCAGACATGCATAACAAAACTAAACTGCAAACAAAATAAAAAAGCATTGACTCAAGCGAATGTAATGATCAACAGGCAAACGGTATTTCATTGTAAAGAGAAAAACTAATGTTTTCCTTATTTTGCTCTGATAAAAAAACTTTTTAGGTTCATCATCAATTTAACTTGACATTTTAACACTTGGAACCTGATTGAGTGCAAACTCTTACCATCATTAAAACGTGTGTATTTTGCAAAGCTGTGGAAAAATTCTCCTCCTTCTGATCTCAGAAATGTCACACTAGAAAAGGGTTCTTTTCCTGGGTAACCAGTTTTCAGTGCAACCTTTTGCAGCTCCATGTGAAAGGTTTTCGGGATGACATAGTCATATGCATAGGGATGAATGTACATGAGCTGTAATCCTACAAATTCAAATTAGTAAAATGTTTAGCACATGTATTCCTTAAAATATGTTTTATAACAAGTCAGAAATGTAACAGTATCCCACCTATTTCTTTAAATGTACCATAGGAGTAAGTCACACACAAAAATGTCTGACCATTAACGTTTCCACTTTCTGGCCAGAAGCTTTTACTTTGATCTGTTGGAAATTTCGGTGTAGAGTGTGAGAGCCAGACTCCTGTTGCTCTGTCCAACATCACAACACCTTTAGGAAGTCAAACAGAGGAGCAAAAACAGAGCTTTGTCACATTATATTATTTTTCTGTATCTTGAACCACAATGAAGTGGAAGATTGTTGCACTCACCTTTACTGTGTCCATATGATGAAGAAACTGTTTTTTTTTCAAGTTGATCATTATATAAAATGTATCCAAAACCTTCAGTCTACAACAAAAATATATGAGACTGCATCAGTTTGCAAATTAAACACTACTGTGCAAAAGAGACACACATCTGCATACTAAACCTTTCTGACGTAGTAGTCCAAAAGAGGTTCCAGGGTGTTTGCAAGAGTGCCAGATGAACTGTCAATGGTATGTTTGCTGAGTTTCCATCCATCGGTGCTCTCATCCATGTACAGATAGGACAAACCGTTATCGGAATGCCCCAGGGGCAACTTGTACAGAATATACCTAATCATGCAGAGAAAATATATTTTATTACATTCTCGGCAGACACTCTGAAATGGTGGATACTCTAAAATGCCACAAATCAAAATGTCCACCAACCAGTCCACCTCGTTTCCTTCATCATTCCTGCATGTCACACGTGACTCTGACAGTTGAAAAACAATCCCAACAGTCAAGAGCAACCCCATCATTGTTCTCTGAAACATTCAGACATATTTATGAGGCAGTCCTGTTTTCTCAGATTAAAGTCACAGATAATTACCAAACGCTGGGCCTTAACATTTTTGACAAATACTGGTTTAATTTGGAGTATGGTAATTAGATAAGGCCATCACACAAATGTTATTTAACTTAACTTTGAATATAAGCATAAATATCCAGAGCTTTCAACCTTGTTCAAATTCATGTAGTGACCAAAAGCGTATGAAACAAACAATTCCATATGCTGAACAAGGGTGTGACATGTTGACAGAAACAACTTTAAATGTAACCTGAATTAAGATTTATTTGGTCAAACTACTGTTCTTTAAAGGTACAACTTTCACATGACACATCTCTGATCATGAAAGTCAAGGAGTCAGTAAGGTGAATGCAACCTCAAAGCTTTGTTTTAGATATTTCAGTCCCTGTAGATCTGAATACTATTCTTCAAAGTATATACAGTAGTATAATTCATTTCAAGGTTCTTCCAACAATTTCAGATGTGGTGTTTGAGTAATGTTGCAAGCCTTTAAGAGTTCTGTAAGAGTTTTGTTTTTTAATTATTTTCATTTTCTGATACTTTACACTTCTGTCAGTATGCTAATATACAAAATATCATCCTATGTCTACTATTATTATTTTTAGAATCATTGTTTAACAAATTAACATTTTACTTACATATCCAGCCATCGTCAGCTCTCTTCTGTCAGCTGTGCATCTGTTAATCAAAGCTGTTATTATTATGAATTTACACCCACATCTCTCATTCGTCACCTCCTACTTGTTCCTTTTCCGGACACTTCATTTGAGATGATTCAATGATTAGTTGCCACGTTACACATGTTTTCATCTACCTGCTTTGATAGAAGTTCTACGTATATCCACATGTAACATATTTTGAAGATTCAAGACACAGTTCTGGGTATTTATTTGAAAGAATAGTCATTACGGAAATAATATAACATGGATGTTGAATTTGAAGCTGAAATTTAGCAGGAACTAAACGCACAAACATATACACACAAAAAACGTGTTTGTTCACTTTGCCTCTCCCCGATAAACCTGTTTTTTTCATAGTGTATACTAGCATTGTATCCTAGAGGAGGAAAAACCGCAACATTATATTAGATTTTTGATATATTTGATGATAACACACTTTGTTGTTTCGATGGTACTGCCTGCCTTTTAAGGCCATTGGCTGATTTAGTTTTACATACAAATGTATGACTTTAAATCCCCCATTGATGTAAATTTCCCCTCTGTGGGACGAATAAAGATATTCTGATTCCGATCAGTTACACAAGATACAATACCTTCAGGGACTAGAGTTTTATGAGAATCATATGGAGTGTGAAAGTGTCTGAGACTGTGAAGGAGAACCAAATACAGAACTGAACACATACTTGCTGTGTTTGAATTGAAAGTGTTTTTCATGTCAGTGTTATTAACTGTACACTTGCCCTACAGCACAGTAGGACTAGGGGTTAAGAAATATCCATCAGCAAAACCAAGTAGCAGATGTACAGTGAATCAAAAGCTGAGAGGCGGCTGGGATTAAAATTGTGATTTCATATTGCTACCAGTGTAATATTTTCTACAATCAGGAAAGGTGTAAAAATTAAAAAGGAGAGTATTTTTCTTTGTGATAAGAATGTGACACATTTTCAGAAAACCCTGGAAATAAGTGGGCCGGTATTAAAACATGAAATATTTTGTAACCCAGGAACAAAATTCCTTTGTCCTACTACACATAATGATTCTACCAGTCCACAAGGTGACACTGTTTACCCAAAACTATTGATATTTGGAAGTTATACAGTTTGATTTCCAGCTGACGACTGTGCAAGTCCATTGCAGAAGTGTGGGGGTTGAGGGTCTTACTTAAGATAGAGCATGAGGTGGGAATAAGGGAGATGCATTTTCAAAGAAGGGGATGCTCCTTCACTTTACGCACTGAGATTTGACCAATTTCCTGATCTTTGTGCCAGCACTGTCCCTTTACTTTAAAGTGTAAACATTTTCAGAATCAGCAGAAATGTAGATTGGCGCTTTGTAAAGGAAAACACATAAAAGCACTTTCTTTATTGTATCTTGAGTCATTTAACATAGTCACATGATAAGCCCTCATTGTCAGGAAATGAACCAAGACTTGACCTGTTGCTATCATTCTCAAAACCACATTCAGGTACTTCTAATTTGTACTATAACACAAAAACACAAGTCAAACAAGTTCATGGGTATTCTGAAATTGATTGGGAATTGGACAACTGCATTTTCTGTTGCTTGTATGTCGGTTGCTTTAACAGTAACAAGATTAAACCCATGCGGTGTCAGAACAATCTAGTCCTAATCATCCTATCTTTCTCTCTCAATCAACAGCCCAAGTACCAGTCCACCTCCTGTCTGAAGGCCTTGTAAATGAGGGGGTTGAAAGTGCAGACCAGCCCCCCACCACGCCAAAGCTGCATCTTCTCCCTGTTCAGATCCCCCAGGCAGGTCACCTGGTCTTCATAGGCCTGCGACACGCACCACTTTGAGTGGTCGTAGTGGGAATGGAACAGGACTGGCCCAGGAAGCCGAATCCTCTTGATGTTCATGACGTGTTTCGGCAGGGAGCAGTTGGAGGGCAGCTCGTGAACTCGTGAACTCTGCCAGGACTCCACCAGCAGGTCGGCACCCAGAGCCTGAGCCACCCACCCCGTGTAGATGTCTGAAGGATTGCCAGTGAAAGGGTTAGTTCAGCTGCATTATGATAGAAAATGACATTAATTAAAAAGGTGAGATTGTGTATTATTATGCCCTAGAGTAGGTTAATAGTTAAGGATGTATTTGATGTCACTTTATGGAGTAAATCTATTCAACTTTTGGATAAAAATGGAAATATTAAGATAAGATGTGTGATTTAGCTCTGAGGACGGGGTTTTTTATTTTAGATGAGCTCTGTGAAGTTCAACTGCAGAAATATTACCCTTATGCCCGGGGCACGTAATGTTGACATATTATTTGAGGAAAAAAACAAGGCCTTTGAAAATTATCTGAAAGGATTGCTCACAACTGTGCACACACTTTAAAATGTAAAGAGCGTCACATGCTGAAAACGTTGAGGGAGCTGAGAGAACTTTTGGAGGCCTGGGTGTGGTGTGCTCATTCGCTTCATGGGTCTGAGATGATAGTGTGTCTGCAACTGATAATGAGGCAAAATGTGCTAACAAAAGAGTAGCAGATAGAGGTTTTTGTTAAGTTTAGTTAACAACTGGAGTTTAGCTGTTGGGTGTTTTTTGTCCAATAAATGTTCCAAAATACCAAAAACTGCACTTTTGTTGAAATGAATGATGATGAGTGATATCTTACCATCAACAAAGTGTTCAGATTTGACAAAACTGACAAACTTTTCTCCTTTGATAGAGCTAAGATGCTCCACATTCCTATCCGAGGCCAGTCTGGGTTTGGAGCCCTCACATAACTGGGCCAACTGCGACAGGTCGGGGGTGAATGCAGCCGGCACAGAGCAGTTATAGAAACGTGGGTAAAGGTACACCATCTGCTTCGCTGGAGAGTAAGGATAGAGGATTACAGGAAGGAAACAAATGAGAGATGCTGTGTATTAAAACTAAAGAGTGCACTGTTGGATGGTTCTGTACTATATGGACTTTATGTATTCAAAACAAAAGAAAATAAATCAGATTCTTGTATGTTTTTATCTGATGGGGATTCAATTAAGAATTGTTCTGCTGATATACCACTACCAATTTGAATAAACACTGCTTATACCCAACAGTGTCTACACTTTCTGATGAATGGATGCATTTTAGTGAGAGCACAGCTACATACATGTCTTTCTTTCATTTGTGCTTTAATGTATTTACGTATTTGTTAAATGCTACATGTCTGGATTTTTCCTTACCAATCTTATATGAAACCTCAGGGGTTGAAAATGTAAGTGAGTCAGTTTCATCAATGAGACTATTTTCCCTTTTCTCTTCCTATTCTTTGTTTGATGGTAAGCAAGGTGGATTTCCTTTAAAGTGCTGCTGGCTATTAAAATGTGTCTTCAGCTGCTAAAACGTTAACTTATGTACTTATGTCCAAGACAGACTAACACGATACACGACAAAGGACAACACTGGAGACATTAATTGACAATGTAACAGTTTATTTTTGTTTTACCCTTTTAAAACGTATGCAATGACTACTAAAACTATAAAAAATATGAATAATTCAATTACATTGTTGAAAAATGTATTCCATATCCGTCATTAAATAATCAGCTATCTATGAATTGGCTTATTTCTTTCCTTTAACTATTTTAAGTTTAACTATTGGATTAACAATGTATCTTACTTCATATATTGGACGGCAACTGGATAATGAATATTTTTTCATTGTCAGAATAAAGTATGCCGTCAAAGACCATAGACAAATACTTTGGAGGTTCTGTTGGAGACACATCTAAGGAACTAGCGTAATGCCTGGTCACTGTGTAAATGTTTTCTTTTGTTGAGCAAATAGAGACTTTTGTAAGCTGAAGTCTGGGATGTGTACAGAGCGGGAGTAAAGCCCTGTTGCTTCATGAGCGTTCACTCACCTATACTGAGGAACTGGTCATAGCCGTAAGTCACGCAGAGAGCAGTTTGGCCGTTGACTTTGCCTGAGGAGGGGTAAAGGTAGCCTCTCTCAGGGAATGAGGGGAAATGGGGAATGCTGTGCGAAAGCCAAAAACCTTGAGAATGGTCAAAGAGCAGTACTCCTGCAAAATGCACACAAGTACAACATGTGCACATACATGTAAGACATTCCCATCAAGGTCATGGCAGTGCAGTCGATAATCCAGAGTCCACAGCAGTTATCAGACGGGTGCTCTTTGCCCGTTTCCTCCCCCTGACACCAAAAAACCTTATTTAACTTTTTTGTAAAATCTTAGCATTGCAAAGTTTAAAAGCAGCTTGTAAGTAAACCCATCATTAATTATAATAGACACAAAAAATCAAGGCAAGAAAAATGAATGATGGTAGTGCACTGTACCTTTAGTGTGTCCGTATCCTTTCATGTAATCCAGGATTGGGGGTCCATCATTGTAGAGTGCATACACTGAACTGTTGGACTGGGGAAATACTTGTTTTATGCATACAGTATTTGTCAAGAAAAGCACTTCTGAGTATTTCGTTTTTTTGTTATTTTCTGTAAACAGTATCTGTTTATTTCCAAAATAAATTGTTTGACATATGGGAAACATTATATGCTTTCTCAACTAAAGTTATAGAGGAACATTTCCAAATCTTCTAAAAATAAGGCATCAGTCAGCAGGAGCATGTCTATTTTTTATCTTCAAACTAATTAATTACTCTTAGCCACACATGGGAGAAGTTAGCCTTCAGGCCTTCTGCCAGAAAGCTTTCTGACCTTTTTCTAAACCTCACCAAGTTCTTGTGTTGCCTAAACCTCAGGAGATTTCAGGCAGAAAGCCCTGAATTTATAGAGGTAATGATCCACTACTGTCTGTCTGTTTTTTCTTTTGTCTCTCTAATTGTATGTAAGGGTATTGTTAGTTTCCAATATGTATTTTAACACAGACCAAGGAATAACAGTTTTTTTAGGAAACAGGGGGCTTATCTGAGCCAGCAAAGGATTAGCTTAGCATAGCATAGCATAAAGACAAGAGCTAACCAATTTCTGATACAGTCTCTACTTGATGACAAGTCTTCAGGAAGTTACTGCTCCTGGCCTAGAAATAGTTTGGCACATAACCCCCTGCAAAAACAACCACATGTTATTTTTCTGTCATTTGTTTTCAAAAGCTGCAACTTATTAATGAGTGAGGTTCAAGGGTCTTAGTTTGTGGATTTGTGTACCTTTGAACAAAGCCATGTAGTTATGTTCAGTCTTTATTCTAAAGTCAACCGTTTGCTGCCAGGGGAATTACTCTCCTTGTCTACAGTAACTAATGGCATGAAAGTGAATTGGCATAATTTCTCAATTGTCCAAAAAACAATGCTTTATCAAAGCATTTTTCCTAGTTTATTATCAGTTATTTAAAATGTGTCTAGATTACTTTCCTGATGCCACAATTGATCTTTAAAATCTATAATGTGCAATTACTTATAAAAAATAACCGACATGAGGAAAGACTGAGTAATTTACTTCATCTGTCTGGGGAAGCTTGTTTAATTACCAACTTCAGCTCGGTTCCCCGTAGGGAAAGAAAAAAACTACTCAGCATGCTCTACTTTCCTAAACACAGGAATGAGTGAATACAAAACCCACTTGGAGAACAGGGACATGATCTCACCTTGTAGGCCTGTCCCGTGTAAAGCTGCTTCAGTGTGCTTCCTATGGCTCCTTGACTGGTGTTCACCATGTATTTACTCATCTGCCAGCTCCCTACTGAGGAGTCCAGGTACATGTAGTCCACCCCACTGCCAACCTCACCAATCTTATACATGGGCAGTTTGTAGATGATAAACCTGCAGTGGAAAAAGAGAGAAATATACTTTTTATTCAGCAATAACAATAACTTATGTTTGTTGATTCCATGCCCCATTAACTTCCTGAGACCCAAGCTTTTTTTTTGTATGCATTTTTAATTTCTCCAATCTATTTAGGGTTAGTAGGACCTAATAAGTGTACAACCTAAGTATTGTATTTGTTGTCCTCATATGTGGACAGTCGGTTTATTTTACTGCATAACACATAAAGTCACCGGTGTATCACTAAGTACAAAACCTTTAATTTCAATGCCCAAACAGTCAAATCTATTGGCCTGTGAGAAATGCTGCATAACAAAACTGTTAACCCCCAAAATGGTGGTATTGCAGAAACTTTTACTTGGTAATACACATATTCTCAATGCCTGAACATTGCTGTGCAAAAACAAAATAGCAAACAATTTAACATACGTTGAACAGTCACACAATTGCAAACCATAGGCCTATAACATATGTTTAGCTCCAAACTAGGTCTATAGAAGTAAGTAAAAAGCAAAGTACAAACCAAATCTGATTACCCTAAAAAACGACATGGATTTTCAAGCAACCTGACTAAAAACCTTGATGTAAACTCTGCTGTAATGAATCATATCAACTCACCAATCAACTGGTTCACCAGCTTCATTTCTACAGGAAATGTCAGTACTACACTCTGTGCAACACACACACAGGATAATGATCTGTAAGCGTGAACTGAGGCGCGTGTCCATCCTGCAGGCGAAGTGAACACAAAAGGGAATTAGAAATCTTGTTTTGTGGTGTGCTTTATGATTGAGTAACTTTGAGAGTGGAGATACAGCTGCATGTAGATACAAAACAGGAAGTCACAAGATATGGTCACATGATGGGAAGGTTTTTTGGGGCTGTATTAAATAAAATAAAAGGTTTGGAGGCTTTAAACTGCCCTAATATGTGGGAATACCCGTTACACAGATTCCCCTTTTAAAGGGTTATTAAAACAGTTTATCCTTTTTAAACAGTTATTCACATTACAACTATTTCACCGGTTCCCATCTGGAAGATTCTAAATGCAAACCTTTTTTCTTTTTTTTGCTATGGTATCGAATTTGAAACTTACTGAAATGGAAAACATCTGGCCCAAATGTTTCCTTTACCTTGTAATAAAGAAGTGAAATAAAAATATTTTACTGAAATTTGCATTCTGCTTTTCTGTCTGTAACTTTTGGCTGACATCAAACTAAATCAAACATGTTGCTAAAAATAAAAAAATAAAACCAAAAGTGAATAGACACAAGACGATAAAAAACTTTGAAAGATAAGTACTTTTTTGAAGGTTATACAGAAGACTACATTTAAACTAAACAAATAATATATATTCCTACTTCAATATGACCTATACTGTATGTGCAAGATTCGGAAAAAGGTTTTAAAAATCAGGGAACATAGTCACTTCCTCTAAAACAAACAAGCCCATTGACTTTGTGGCTGCATGTCCACACCACAAAAAACCTGTGTCATTCTTTGCATCTCTTTTCTCTCTCAATATAGTCTTTGGTCACAAGGGGATTTTGTTTTTAGAGAAAGTGAATCAAACGTAAAAACACAACTGTTAAGATAAATGTATCCTCTTTGGTCCTCACACATGGGTGAGACACACCTGTACAGAAACTGTATTACCAGATCGTATCCAGTCATTATGTTCACATAAAAAGGGACATCTATTAATGTTATCTGGAATTGATTTCTGTATATTTTAAGATATATCAATACCACTCACTAAAAAGGTCCCATTAACAGTATAAAGTGTAAGTAATCAGTTTTACGTTATTTATAATAATGACATATTTATAAAAGAAAGTGAAGGGGAAAATGTAGGCTAAGAATATATGAATAAAACATATAATAAAGTAATATACATTTGTTGTAGACGGCAATTGAAAATTAATAAGTTCAACGTTAACAGGAATGTGGTAAATGTACGAGTGTGAATAAATAAATACATATATAAACAGAGGTCTAAACAGTAAGTAAAACAGTGAGTATGAAATGTAAAATGACAGCTTAGATGTAAAGTTAGGAGCTCAGGAGATCAAGAGATCAAATAAGAACAACTTCTTGGGTTGCCAGATGGTGAAAAAAATCCTTGACTGGTTTGGACTGTTTGAACATTTACCTTTTGGAAAAGGTCTGCAGAGAATCAATCAGAGGTCAGGGGTTCAATCCCAGTCAACATGTCGGAGTGTCCTTGGGTAAAAATCCTAACCACAAACTGCACCCGTAGGCATGTTTACAGTAGACACATGTTTTTTGTAGTGTGAGTCGCTTCGGATAAAAGTGTCAGCTAAATAACATGTAATGTAATAATAAAGTAACATATACATATTTTAAATATAAAAACTGCATACTTGATGGTTTAAAATAAGGTGCCTAACCCATGATCATTTGTTAATGACTGAAGAAGGCAGACTTGATGTTTATCAAACTGAATTTGATACTTCTAAACAATTATAAATGCTATACAAATGTAGTTTCTTTAGGTGTCAAACTGATTTAACACGGAACATTTCGACACCAAACATTTCTAAAAATTACAGTTTACTGTAAATGGTAAACAAGACAAACAGCCAAGTCATGTAAAAAGCCGCGTTATTAAATGGATACACAAGGCAAATAAATTAGATTAAATATGTATCCAAAAAAAATACAATATGTGCAAATCATATTGCCATTTAGTTTTTAACCATATTATTGAGCTTCCAAACCATCAGCCCAACCATTGGTTCATTTACAGCTAAACATGGTAGACAATCGAGTTATCTAACACAATAGGCTTACTTCCTTTGGTATTTCAAAACCTGGCAACCAGATATTTGATCTGCATATATGTAGTATTACAAATAACTCAACTAATATATATATAACTGCAAAAATGTTTTACACACTGATAGATGAAACCACAGGGGGTTTAGAATACAACACAACAAAAATGTCTGTATTTATTGATAAGACATGTACTTGTGGTCTTCTCTGCAACTACACGTGTGTGTAATAAAGCAAGAGAGTGGGTGTATACATCTGCATGCCTGAAATTTGAATTACACACGCTGCAACGGGTAAGACGGGTTGAACATTACGTGACATGCAACATAACTTTCAATGACAAAAAGAAAAGAGCAAAGGTGGCCCCGCCCTCTCTACAAAATCCTCCTCAATGGGTAGAGACACCTTTTGCTGGAGGAACAGAGGACAGACAGGCAGCAGGTGAAGGAAGGAAAGAAAGTTACCATGGCAGCGGCTTCAGATCAGGTAATCATTCATAATGTTTACAGAAATTAAAACAAAGAGATAAGATGTGTTATAGACTATAAGAGGAGACCTTACATTATTCAGCTCTGGAGGTTATCTCAGGTTTGGGGTGAATGACCATGGGGCGACTGGGGGACAAACCAGTGGACATGTCTCATATAAATAAAGTAAAGTCTAAATCACAAACTATTGGTCTAACCTGATGCTGTAAACAAACAGTATATTAATTTGTACAGCTTAAGGCAATGGATATTTAGGATTGTATTAATGCAACGCTGAATTAAATTTAAGACCAAATTTACCCCACAAAAATTGAAGAAAGAATTGGAATCCATGACTGATAGTTAGGAAAAATAATTTATTGCAACATGAACTATTTCATTATGTAGCTGTTTGCTAGCAGATACAAATACAAACATTTGATATATGAGGCATGTCCTGATCTGCACCATGTTAATGCAAGAGGCATTTACAAAGTTATTTAAAAAAAAGTGATTTTGGGGTTAGAAATTGCAATGTCTTTTGACGTATAAGCATTTTAAAAGACTTTGAAAATGTATTTGGTAAAGGAACTTTATTGCACATTAAAGTGTTATTTTTAGATTTATGAATTCAATACCTTTTTCTTTTCTTTTTTACTTTTTGAGAATCTGCAGAGACCCTGAGTTAAATATTAATGTTGGTTCATATTGATTGATTTATTTTTAAAAATGTCCCTTTGTGGATACCAGGTTGCCACATGAGGCTGCTGTTACTGATCCACTAGGAACAATCTAACAATATAAATCTAAATATGTTTAATTTCTCCTCCATTAAACACTATTATGTCCTATGAATTATATATACAAATATAATTGCACAGGGATGTTAGCAAATGTGAAACACTAGTAAATAAAACTCCCTGCAAACATAATTAAACATGCAGTATGAATGGAAACCGAAGTTCTCTGTGTCTGCAGAATGTGGAGTTTGTGCGAACAGGCTACGGCAAGAACAAAGTGAAGGTGCTGGTGATCAGGAGACAGGGCAGCCATCACTACATCATCGAGCTGAAAGCTGACGTGGAGCTCACTCTCAATCCCGCAAAGATTATCTAACTGGAGACAACTCAGACATCATCCCCACCGACACCATCAAAAACACCGTCCATGGCCTGGCCAAGCTCAAGGGGGTAAGGTCCTCCTCCAAGACCGTCCACTACACTCTTTCCACTTTCTACTCGTGTCACACTTCTATCACTCCATTAAAAACAACGTCTATCCGGAGAAGACTTCAAGACAAATATTTATTTATTTGTCAGGCAGTTTTAAACAACTAAATGCAGCGACACAAAAGTCTGGGGAGAAATTCAGCAGCCTTCATGTAAACAAACTGTTCTGTTACATTACCTTATTGCTCCTTTTAAAGGTTTATTTGTATATTCAGAAAGCATTTTTTTAAACTAGGAGACTTCTACTAAAGTCACTATTTTTACCTCACTGCCAAAGTGAACCTTGTCCACACACTGATCAAATACAATCAAGGTTTAACAAACCCTGCACTTCCTTTATGTATCTATTTAGATATTTTTAGATGCTTTTACTTACAGCATGCTTTTTATGCTATACTCCTCTGTTCAGGTTAAGACCATTGAGCAGTTTTCTCTGGATATCTGTCATCATTTCCTGACCTCCTTCAACCATGTGCTGAAGGCCAGAGTTCACATGGAGGAGGCTCCATGGAGACGGTTGGAGAAGGTAAAGCACAGGGTTCAGTGATCAGTTATAAGATATTTGACTTTTCATGAAGGGAAAAGCACAAGTGGAACCAATGAAACTAAAGAACAAGTCTTTTTAACCTCAGAGCACACCAAGCATCACTGATGGATGATGGGAAATAATTGTTAAGCCGTGGTTATTATAATCAGTTTCAGACATGTGACATATTGCCATGTGTTTCCATCATTTCTATTTTTAAAGTAACACCATGAATGAAGAACACCTTAAATAATTTGAACATGATTTTCATCACGTTTGCCGTTGTTGTATGGTTTCTCAGAATGGGGTAGAGCATGCTCATGCATTCATCTTTAGCCCTGAAGCTTGTCGCTTCTGTGATGCTGAACAGAATCTCAATGGTAAGCACAACACCCACTTCACCTTATATAGTTAAAAAATGCATATCCTAGTTTTTTGTGAGGGGCTTTATAAATCTCATATGACTGAGTTTAAACTTCTAAAGATAAACCATCTTTGTACTTGCCTGGGCTGGGATCAGACGGTGTTATCTTGTCGCACCCTCAATGATTTTACTAGCTAAGAAGTACATGTGAAAAATGATTTGGAGTAATTGGATGCCATGGCCTCATCTGTGTCCAGTTTGAACTAAAGTCTATTTGGTTTAGATGTTTTGGAATTATTATAAATGGATGAGTTTTATGAGCTTGGCATTGCTGCATATCACTGATGACGGGCTTCAGTCATATCCAAATGTTACTTGATGTTTATGATTACTGCATACTCACTGACTCTGTGCGCAGGCATCCCGGTGGTACACAGCGGGGTAAAGAACATGACGCTGCTGAAAACCACCCAGTCTGGCTTTGAGGGTTTCCACAAAGACCGCTTCACTACTCTGCAAGAGACCAAGGACAGGTGTTTCTGCACCTCTGTCATGGCTAGGTGGCGCTACAGCAAGAGTCAGGATGTCGACTTCGATGCTGCATGGTAATTATCTGTGAAGAGAGTTGCGTAGGACACAATTAGGCTTACAATTCACATCTTAGTTGTCTGTAACTTTATCTGTCAAAGAAGAAGAAAAAACATGTTATGAGATCTGAACACAAAATAGAAGGAAAATAAGAAATACTAAAAGGGAATGAAGAATAATCTCCTAATCTAATGACTCACATCGCTGTCCTCATAGGAAGTGTGTGAAGGAGACGATCATTGAGAAGTTTGCTGGTCCTTATGATCTTGGAGAGTTCTCCCCCTCTGTGCAGAAGACCCTTTATGAAACACAGGTTCTGGTCCTGGATCGAATTCCTGAGGTAAGTACACATGCTCAATTACAAGATTAATATCAAACCCCTAGGTATAATCTGTTTAAGACATAACAAAAGAAGAAAGCAGGAATTTAACAGTACATGAACATACCAAATTGTCCGCAATACTCATTTAAAAAGAAAAATGGGCTACGACTCCTCTTAAACTAAAACATATAATCCAAGGACTTTCAAAGCCCAATACCATCACATGCCTCAACATGGAAAAGTTTGAGAAATGTATAAAGGTTATTTTGCGACCAGAGTTTCTCGACACAGGTGGTGCATAAAACAATAACTCATGCCTGATTACTTTTGCACACAACATCAGTGACTGTATGGTACACATTCTGTATCATGCATCTACAACAGATAAAGGAATGCATAGTTTAAGCACTTACAGTTGTAGATTTGTTTAACATCCAATAAAACAATGTTGAGTTCAATATTATGCCACATGCCCAACAAGCTCATTCAGACAAACTCATGCTGTAAGTGTTCTGTCTTTTAGGTTGATGAAATAGAGATGGTCATGCCCAACCAGCATTACATCACCATAGACATGACGAAAATGGGGATCAACAACAAAGATGAAGTAAGCTCTGTTATAAAGAATTATGTTTTAAGTTGAGTTGTTTACTAGTTTTTTTATTATTTACTATTACTTACTGTAATGCTTTTCCCCTCACAGGTTCTTCTTGCCTTGGATAACCCTTCAGGCAGCATCACAGGGACGGTCCGTAGGAAACAGAAAGCCAAGCTGTGAAGGCACCTACATAAACCAGGAAATGCTACTGCTCTGGTTTACATGTCAATCTAAATAAGCTACTTGATCAAATAATAGTAAAGTTCTGACAACAAAATATTAACTTTTAAATATTTCCGAATAACAACTACAACTCAAGATATCCGAACATGATTCTGGCTTTATCTGTAAGTAAATATAATGAAATAAAGGACTTTACTAATATTGTTCTTTTGTGAGAAAAGAGCACCATTTATTGCAAATCTTTGATTCAGATGGTCAATCTCCAGTGTTATGTTACACATATTCATTGGTCATACACAATTTAAACAGCTGTCTATTTGACAATACTGAAAGCACCACAGGTGGGAACATAAAAATTCTATAAACACATAAACATTTTTTTTTATAAACAGCCTTGAGCCTAGATATTTAGGTGTGCAGGAACAGGGCCTTTAATAAACTTGTTTCTGGGGAAAAAATGTGTTCACTGTTACATGCTAAGGACGTTTTAGTGACTCAGCTGCAGAGATTAGAGCATAAAAAGTGATTTAGGGCAAAACGGATATTCCAGAATCATTTTCTGCAAGTATCAAAGGGTTTGGGTATGACAACATACACAGTTTTCAACTATATATCATCTTATATACAAATACTTGTTTTTATAAACCGTCGTGGGTTAACTCACTTTGTACATACAGTACCAGTCAAAAGTTGACATCACAACTATAAAAGAACCCATATGGAATTATCTAGTTAACAAAAAAGTGTTAAAAAAATCCAGAATATGATTTATATGTTGCTGGCTACTGCAGAATGCTGTGTTAGCCATGCTGGTTAAGTGTGCCTTGAATTCTGAATAAATCACCAACCGTGTCACCAGCAAAGCCCCCCCACACCATCACACTTCCTCCTCCATGCTTCACGGTGGAACCACACATGCAGAAACCATCCGCTCAACTTCTCTGCATCTCACAATGACACGGAGGTTGGAACCAAAAATCAAAAATGTGGACCCATCAGATCAAAGTACAGATTTCCACTTTCTAATGTCCAGTCCTTGTGTTTCTTGGCCCAAACGATTCTCTTCTTCTTGTTCTTCATCCTCAGTAGTGGATATTTGCAGCAATTGGACCATGAAGGCCTGATTCACGCAGTCTCCTCTGAACAGAGGATGTTGAGATTGTCTGCTACTTGAGCTCGTGTGATCATTTATGTGGGCTCTAATCTGAGGTGCTTTAATGTGCGGTTTCTGAGGCTGGTAACTCTTGTGTATTTATCCTATGCAGCAGAGGTAACTCTTGCTCTTCATTTCCTGGGGGGGTCCTCATGAGAGCCAGTTTCATCATAGCGTTCGATGGTTTTTGCGACTGCACTTGAGGGTAAATTCAAAGTTCTTGACATTTTCCGGATCGACTGGCCTTCATTTATTAAAGTGATGATCTCTTTTCTGAGTTGAGACGTTCTTGCCATAATATGGATTACAACAGTAGTCAAATAGGGCTCTCCACTGTGCACTAACCCTACCTCTGCACAACACAACTGATGGTCTCAAACACATTAAGAAGGCAAGTAATTCCACAAATTGACTCTTGACAAGGCACACGTGTTAATTGAAAACCATTCCAGGTGTCTACCTCATGAAGCTGACTGAGAGAAACCAAGAGTGTGCAAAGCTGTCATCAAGGCAAAAGGGGGCTACTTTGAAGAATATCAAATAAAAATCATATTCTGGATTTTTAACACTTTTTTGTTAACTAGATAATTCCATATGTGTTCTTTCATAGTTTTGATGTCTTCAGTATTAATCTACAAAGTAGAACAAATTAGAATAAATAAAAAACTTCATATTTGAAGGTGTGTCCAAACTTTTAACTGGTAGTGTACACACACACACACACACACACACACACACAGAAATCATGTCGGCAAACAATTCCAACCTACATTTCTTTCTTTAAAATTAAACACACAAAATATAAAATACAAATCTCAAGCAGAAATAAGAATGGCTGAAAGGGTAAACCGCTGAGAAAACCAGTTTTTTGGGCTCTGAGCTTATAAAAACATACAGCATTCAAATTCTGTTAAGGTGCCACTGTGGCCAGAGGAGTTAAGTGGCAGCTAACCTGGGTTCTCTTGACGCGATGATTGTCACTGAGCTGGGGGGGGGGGGGGCGGGGGAGGGGGGGGGGGGGGGGGGGGGGGGGGGGGGGGTGCTAAGAGGCATTGCTCTTCAGGTGTTGGGTTTGCAGCTGCTTCACATGATACTCATAGATTTTCAGTGCAGGGCCTAGCTTTATCGACAGCCCCGTCAGGACGTCGTTTCGGGTCATCAGCAGCAGAGACTTGCCATCAATTTCCTGTCAGGCGGAGAGAGACATTTTTGACTGACATCCTAGTTTGCTTTAATCATGTGTTGAGAATTTTGAGCAGGAAGAGCCACCCAACCTGATCTTGGAAAGCCGTCGCTTGCTCCTCGAACCCTGTTGCTTTGAAGTAGTTGACAACGTCGGCAACCCCCCAGTTTGCAGGGTCCGGCAGCTGTCCGTTCTCCACTGGGCTGTGAGGTCACAGTGAAGGTATTCATATTAGTGTGCAAGCATTTTCAACTGTAACAGTTCCTCCAAATACTCAAAAACAATAAACTATTTATTATACTTATTGAAAATTATACCTTTTTGTGTCAACAGAGCCATTTGCCTTGTCTCCCATGCTGGCTGTCAACAAAAATGGAGAAGAAATAAAAACAATAGCAATCATCAAATCAAAAGATGCATTATAATATGTACACACTACAATGCAAAGTCAAACATTCATCACAAAACTATCCTTAAATGGTGTCAAAATGTTTTTCCCAAAGGAAAATAAAATGGAATTTTTTTTTAATAAAAATAATCTAAAATCAAAGATAGCGAAGAGCAATTCAAAGCTGTAGAATAAACTAGATTTAGGATCAAACAATATTATTTTCGTAAATTTAATTTGGTTACAACCCTGAGAAAAAAGAATTCACCATAGGCAATTTTCAATAATTTCCAATATTAAGCGAAACATAATTATAACATTAAACAGGGATTAAATAATTGTTAATCAATAGTAACAGCCCTACAAAACATGCAATACAACACAAATACAAAACAAAATGTCTATAGATGAATCTACATTTTTAGATGGAGGCTCATTTAAACGGTACTGCTTGGTCACAAAAAACGAGATTAAGCTAGCAAAGCGTAGGAGGAGGAAAGGTATCAATCAATGTATACATATTATTTCAATACAAGCTGCTGTTACTCTCAAACAGAAACCATTAGGTGACACTGCTGGGGATTAAGGAAACGTGTTCTCATTGAGCCGATGTGGTTTTAAGTTAAAGCCCTAATGCATAATGCATCAGTCTCTTACAATCTGTTAGGTTGCAGTAATTTCTCATCAGATGTCTTCTCTCGCAGAGTTTAGTGGATTGGCAGCTCAAACACCATCTTTGTTTCTCTTTCGCAGTCTGCCATTCACTAGGTCTCTTCTCTGCAATACAATTCAAATAAAACAGTTGTTAAAAAAACACACGGCACGAGACCAAAACAAAGCTAGCACTGTGTCGATGACTGACATTAGGGAGGGATGCAGTGCTTGGAAAATAAGAAAAAGCTCACGATTAGCTGCAATACAAATAACGTTACATATTTATATAATTGCCTTAATTGACACGTATATAAATCAAGCAGAAAAGGCTATTCAGTTGTCAGAGTTGAGGCACAGTATACAAAAAACGTCAGGATAAAAGACGATATTATTTAATCGCTGCCTCTTCGTATCTCGTATTAAGCTAACAGTTATAGTTAGCTGGGTTTGCTAATACAACACAGAACAGTTACCTTATTTAGGATGATTCCTGTTTGACAAAAACACTGCGTCCGAGCAAGACACGTTCTCAAGAGGACACAAACGTTTTCTATTCACGAGGATATTTTACAAATAAATAAACGGCGATATTCATTTGATAAAATCTAGATGTAATCAACTAAAGGCAACTAGCCCCTCTTCATTGGTTCAGCTTCCTTCGCCCACGACAGCAGAGAATCATGGGAAGTGAAGTTCTTTTTTGTTTCAACGCCAGCGTTTGTATTTGAGTCTGATCAAACTCCTGCTGACTTACTACACATAAACACTGGGGGAAAAAGTATTCAGATTCTGTTCTTGAAAGAAATACCAATACCACACTGTAAAAATACTCAATTTGAAGTAAAAGTACTGCATCAAGTACAAGTATTCAAGTACGACGAGGAAAATGTACTTAAAGTATTATGAGTAAAAGGACTCTCAAAAAAACTAAAAAAATATTTAATTATTTGAAAGTAAAAGCAGCGAATATCTTGTGTCAGCAACATAAACACAATACTGCAAATACATTTTCTGTTAAGCCACTCATGGTTTTAGTTACTTAAGTATAAGGTTGGATGGTTTCATCTATACCAAATAATTGTTTCGGGTAGACTACACGAGTGCCTCAAATGTGTATTTAAGTACAGAACTTGAGTAAATGTACTTAGCTACTTTCCAGCATTGCACATAAAGCAACATTTCTCAGCACATTGATGACAAATTACAGTTTTTTTTTTAATAAAAAGAATTTATTATAGTGACATATCTTTCGTTACATAAAATCTGCTACAGCAAAGTATATCCCCCTTGCAAACACAAGTAAATATAGGTGGGAAAAAACGTGTCAGCCTTTTAAATGATGTGCAAAATATCCCACAAACTAAATACAGACACATTTCAGATTATTGATCCCATACTGGCATGTGTGACTAGCTACAAAGAAGTCTAACTGATTTCCTTCAGTCAGGAGTGTGAAGTGGTTCAGGGAAAAATGCCATCATTTACATCAAATATGACAAACATTATTACACACATGGGATATAAATGACACATAAGAAGAGCCGAGGATTTCCTACATATGTTTTATGGGAGGATTTATACACAGGCAGTTTGGATTGAAACATGCTGAATTCCCAGTTTTCAAAGTTTTTCCAGATAAAAAATGTCATAAATCCTGCAATTACATTCTGTTCATCCTTCAAACTTGGAAAATAATGTTGGACACCCTTTAATAAAAGGTCATTTCAAGTCAAGTAAAGAAAAAAAAGAAAAGAATAAAGACGAATAATAAAATAAGTTAAACTAATAGGCTACAATTTTGTATAGGCTTGAGTGGCATCAATGTATATTTACTGTGTTAAATATTTTCATTTTATTTTGAATAAGGGCAAATAAAAAAGCATGGTACAAATAAATAATCTATTATATTAACTGTTCATAGCACTTTTCTGAATACAACAGTTGAAGTTTTCTTATATATTCTGAGAACTTTGCGAGTTTAAATAATTAAAAATATGTTTTAGAATACATCTCTAATTTAAATATAAAATAGCATAATAAACAATTGTGCCTTTAAAATGAAATCAGGGCTAAATAAAAAATCACATCATGTGCTCAATATATGAATAAAAGTTCAGGCATAGTCAATATCAATATACAGTACATCAGTACCTTAAAAAAAGGATTCCGTCACCAAACCTTTTCACATTTGGTTGTCAAAGATTGTTGAACTAGATTAAATTGCATTGTTCATCTACATACACTTGAGCACCATGTCAAATAATGATCAAAGTTTCAGAAGATTTAAGAGATGTTAAATTGAAAGACTGTCAATGATGCATTATTGTTTGCAACAAGATGTGAAATGAAAAACTTTGATTTCCCCTTCAACCCTGAGTGCCCGACCTGCAGGAATGACCTCAAAATCGGACCCCCCGAGGACGGCAGAGAATCCCCTCTAAAGAATCAGAGGATCGCAGGAGCACTAAGGACTTTTCTGACATCTGGAAGTTTAACAAGTGGACACCTTGGCTTTGTAGGTATTGAACCTTTCACAAACAGATTGTATGATAACCTGTTAAAAACACTAAGTCAACGCAGTGAGGAGTTTGCAGAAAATGAAATACATTCCAGCAGCAAGGAAGGAGCAATGGGTCAGAACTCATGGGAAATGATGAATGGTGCTCAGTATAGACAAATCCCTCATAAAACCTAGATTTGTCTTAAAGGGGGGAAATATGTATTAAATATGTTTAGACAACAACTTAAAAGGAGTGATTTACAATGAAAAGTTAAAATATTCTTCAAAAGCCAGACTCTGGACCTTATTCCCTTTAAAAATCTGAAACAAGACCAACATTTTTTTGTATGTTAACGTTCTCTTACTGATCTGACCCAGCCTGAGCAATGTTGCAAGGAAGAATGAGCAAATATTGCTCCATCACAGTGTACAAATTGGTTAAACATGATGGAAAGAGACTATAAGCTATAGTTGAGGTAAGTATATGTTCCAACGAAGTGATGCCCAAGATGAATGAATACTTATATAGGTTATGATATTTCAGTTTTCTGTTAACATTTCATGGTTAATGGTATAGATTTGCTTTAGTGGGATTATGCTGGGGAATATGTCACTCAGATAAACATTGCCTATCTAATGCTCCAATGTCACAGGCCATGACACAATTTAAAAAGGTAACAAAACACAAGAAAATAACAACAAAAAGATGGGAAATCTTTCAGGGCACTATACGCTTGTTGTGACACTGCTGTACAAACATAACATGCAAACGTAAAAATACAATTAAAACAAATATGGCAGTAACATAATGTCTTTTGAGTGCTATTTCAAAGCAACATTTTAAAACTAAATTGAAAAGCAACCCAGAATGGACATTTGGGACCAACACTTATTTGCATTTACTACAACATACTCTCAAGAAAATGTTTTACCTTTCAGCTATTTAAAGATGCCATGTCCGTGCACTTCATACAGTTCTGGCCGTATAAAGGACAGTTGACCTGTTGTGTGGAGTAACTACTCAAACCCCTTCGGTTTTACTTTCTCGTGAAACAAAGTTGTACCTGAAAAATATATCATTCTGTTCCTTTCATATAATACCACTCTATCTAAGATGAAACCAGATATAGATAAAGAAAACCTATAATTGAGTTAAATCAGCGCTGACACGTTTCTGCTCCATAATAACACCTGTCACTGTTAATCCATCTCTTTAAGGATTCAATGCCCGAGTGCTGAAACTCTGAAACGTCAAGAACCCAGCATCAGTGATACTGTTTCTTCAATAAACACTAGTTTCTTTGTTGGAAATTTGGTCATGCTTTAACAACACAAAGTCTTATGTCTCATATATGTATCTTTCTAGATGCACAAATACAAGGATCTAGGTCTTAAGGACATCAGAATGATGAATATTGTTATAGGTTGAAGTGTCCGTGGTTAATCACAAACAGAACCCTGAATCACACTCAGGTATGTAACAGATAACAGGCAAAAATGTATTTTAGAAATAAATTTAAAAATCCTTCTATTTTCCCAAAGCTTAAATCACAATATGTGCAATACCAGTTAATACAATCAATCAATCACTTTTTGTGCCATTTGAAAAAGGGCATTCAATTATTTTAGATTTTTATGTTGCTTTTGAATGAATTATTTGAATTGAAACATTAAGGACGGAGGCTATTCAAAAGTGCCAAACGTAAAAAGAGGAAAGCAAAAAGACAGAAGATGAGCACGTGGTCTAGTATTTATGTGTCGCAGCACGAGGGGTGTCTGCATAATGTGCCTGTGTATAGGTTAGTGCTAACTGCACGCAGGATCATGGCAAGAAGGACCTCATTCAGCTGTGTGGAATGAAGGAACGAGGCATTTGTTTTGAACACGCGACGGCCTCAGTTCCACCTTAACCCTCAGGAGAGTGCAAATATCCCGAAGCACGTGAGCCCTGATGGGACTCCTGCCCACTCACTAGAACTCAGCAAACTCTTTTGCACACTTTTCTGTTTGTGAGACACGAATGTCCTCCTCTTCGTAGTCGTCAAAGTTGCTTGTGTCGCCTGGTCCTCTACACTTTGGCAAGAAGGGGGCTTCAACCTAAGAATGAGAACAAGAAATTGTTTTCTTATCATTATTTTACCGGGGTCACACAAGGTCTGTTGTTTATTTACTGTGAATAAGATGCAGATGACAGCTTCAAAAGGTAGGAAGTCGCCATGCCGGTAGATCAGAATGAATTATACTTTGGTGCTCAGGGTTTTCCGTTAAATGGAATTGGGGAAGATCTAACCGTTCTAATAATGTTAAGCGTGTCGATACTGACAAAGGGTACTCAATGTCTGATTAAGACCTGTGTATTTGTCAAAATGTGTAAACAAACGAGTAAAAGGCTTCAATTTAAGCTTTACGGTTTGTGTATGATTTTATATGATTGTTTATCATATTTACTAAAAGACTAAATGATGAACAGTAACAGATGTGTCATCAGAAACATGTAATGTCACAATAAAATCATACCTTTCTCTCGTAGATGGCAATCCAGTCTGTTGCGGAGAACCACTTGTGATTTTTTATGTCATTCACACCATTCTTCAGGTTGCCAAATCTCTTTGTCAGGTCGACCTGGAGGAGGTTTCTCAGCAGATCCTTCAGGTCAGAGCTAAAGTGAGAGGGAAATCGTACCTACAGGAGCAAAAATAGCAGGGCACTTTGGATTAACAAGCACAATCTATATAAAAACATGTGTGAAAGCCACCTATTTATTATAACATACTTGGTTACATATAAAAAGCAATACTAGAGAAACAAAGGCAAGTTGATACTTGTGGTTTCAAGGCAGCGGCATAATGACACTATTATATTTAAACTTAAGGATGTGTGTGTGTGTGTATCTCTGCATACCTTGCCAGACACAATCTTTTCGTAGATCTGGATAGGCTGATCAGCAAAAAAGGGAGGATAACCAGCAGCCATTTCATAGACGAGAACTCCAAGGGCCCACCAGTCCACAGCTTTGTTGTAGCCCTGGAAGAGTCAGAAACAGAAATGAAAAAACCCAATATTTTGAAAAGACTGTAGGCTTGGCTCAACCTTAATGTTGACAAACTACCTTGGATAATGACTGATGATGACAGTCAGAAAGGTTTGAGACATACAGAGCAGTCAGGTATTCACAAGGACAGACCGTTTTCCCGTTGTGTTGGCTCTACACTTAGCTTTAGTTTGTGGGTTTTTACATTCACATCATATGACTAGTGACTGTATCCCTGAAATCGTCAGCCAATTTTAATACACAAAGTATTTTGACTTACTAAGGTCTTTTGGATTTTATGGCTGATGTAAATGTATACATCCTAAATCATCACCAGACAGTTGTTTCTGCTGGGCGTAAACTGCAGCTAGCTACAAGTCTTGCTAGTTTCAAATACTAATTTGTGAAGTATGAATAGAAAGATGAACCATGCATAACACATTTAAAATCTATTGTGCTGGAGTTACTGTTTTATTACTTTCTAAATCTAATGTCATAACATGCATGCAGGCTACATTGGGTATAACGGTTTCACCTTGCTGAGGATGATCTCTGGAGCCAGGTACTCAGGAGTCCCACACAATGTCCAGGTCCTGCCTTTTACTCTTTTGGCAAAGCCAAAGTCTGTGACCTGAACATAGAACAATAAGAGCACGATAAGAAAATAAACTAAGGACAAAGTTAACATGTACTACATGTACGTCTATCAGCACAAACTCACGCCAGATTTTCAGTTTAAAAAAGAAAATCCAAACCAAAGTTTTTCGTTCATAAACCATTTTTTTCACTCAACCGTTTTACCGAGTACCCTCAAAGTCACAACAAACATTTGCATTCAGTTAATTTTTTTATTTTACAACGTTTACATGAACTGTTTACCTGGATGTACCCATGTTGATCTATGAGCAGGTTTTCAGGCTTCAGGTCTCTGTAGATGAGGTCTAAGGAGTGAAGGTACTCAAAGGTGAGTACTATCTGAGCTGCATAAAATCTTGCATGGTTTTCACTGAAAAAAGGACAGTCAGACAGAAATATATATAAACACAGTTCTCTTCTGAGTGAAGGTGCAAACTCAATCATTTAGAGATATGGTTTTCACAGCTTTGTCCAGCTATTAGTGTCAGATAAAGTGCTCATGATAACAAATAAAACAAAAAATGTGTGCTCTATACCTGAACCTTCCAATACGTCTGAGGTGTGAGAACATCTCACCACCCGGCACGTATTCCATCACCATGTAGAGGTTCGAGTTGTCCTGTTCATTAAAAAAGGAGAACAAAAACTAAGTCCAGGGCAAAACCACTGCTAACATGTTAAATAATAAGAGTTCTTCACGTAGGTAAATGAAACACTGTAACCCAAATAATAGAACATTATGGGGGTGCCCATTCTGTTAAGGTTGTTGTTAAATCAAATGAAGTTGCCTGGCTATTTGTACTGTAACAGCTTTAGCACTGTGACAGGTGAACACAAAAGGTCTGTTAGATTACTTTTGGATGTCTTGATGAAACATATAAAAACAGTGGTAATGTGGTAACCATGTAGTTGGTTGCAGGAGGAAGGCGTCTGAATGTACCTTGAAAGCGTACTCCAATCTGACGAGGAAGGGGAAAGACACGGCCTGTAGTATTCTCTTCTCATTTAGTGTGTGTTCTATCTGCTTCAACTTCACCACCTGAAGAGAAAACAAGGCACAATATTATAACTAAGTGTATATTAAGCAAAAGATGTTCTAATAATTGAGTGTATTGCATTATTTTCCAGTTCAATCAAAGCAAAATCTAAAGTAAATAAAAGAGAGCTACGCCAAATAAAAAAGTTAATAAACACACATGTTTTGCTAATTTCCGCCCAAATATGAAAGATTTATTTTCAATGCATTACATTATCTTGGATTGGACAGTCAGTTTCCCTTCATTTCAGTAAAATGTACAAAGCAACTTGTACAGACTGAAGGCGTAATAAACCAGAGATTCAATTCTATTCTTTTTCAGTTTGACTTTTTACACTGCAAGATGGTTAAAAGTGCAATTTGTCTTTCTATTCAGGCATTTGTATTGACAATCTTTGTATCTGGTTGGCGTTTAATCTGAACTCAACCTATCATTAAGGAAAAAAAATTCCAGGGCCTTGGTTTAAAAAGACTGTCAGACATGAACTCAATCCAGTTTAACTGCATTACCACACACTTATATAACAGCTGGCTAAGACAATTAATGAAATACCTGCTGTATCTCAGGCATGTTTTTCTAATTGAATTTGCATAGCAAAACATCTGAATGGAAAACAATGCCGCCCTGTGATACAATACATTCACGTTTAAGAACCTGTAAATTGCATAGCATACTTTGGGAAATGGTAAGTACCAATGTAAAATATACACTCCCTCTGAAACTCACTCCCACAACCCATCAGAGACTGCACTGACCTCACCACCTTAAAAAAGACTTACAAAAACTCACCTCTTCAAACTGGCTTTTAATGTGTGATTGTTGTTCTATTGCTAGATTTTAATGGGATCTTTACTATATTTAATTGTTGTTCTTTTTTTGTTTTTACTACCTCTGTACTTTGAGCACCTGTAAAAGCGCTTACAAAATAAATGTATTATTATTACATTATTAGTAGTAGCAAGTGGGATAAAAAGTAAAAAAACTGAATAATAAATAAATGAAAAAAGATATGTGTTGGTTATAAAGGTTCCCCATACAAAGTGTGAAGAAGAAAACAGAACAAGAAAGCAGACAGTAGTTCAGCTGGAACAGAAAGTCAGACACATTTATCTTTTAATTCCACCGTGTAAAATTCAAAGAAGCAGTGCACCGCTACATGAGCAGCCCATAGAGGACACACTTACCTCCTCCTACAACTCTCACATCAGTATTTAAAATCGAAACTCTAATGTGAAGCGCCTCTGAGGTTTTCAACGATAACACGCTCTTAGTGCATGAGAGGAAGCGTACCATTTCCTTTTACAAGATGCACAGCATTCATGTAGTTCTAAAATTGCATGCAGGGGTTTGCTTTTCACAGACTATCCAGATTTACAACACCACTCTTTGAGATTGGTGAACAGTTTTTCTTTAAAGAAATACACTTACTTTCTGTTTGTCCAAGATCTTCATGGCGTAGAACTGATTTGATTCTTTATGTTTGACAAGCATAACTCGCCCGAATGAGCCAGTGCCCAGAGTCTTGAACCTATCGAAGTCATCCAGGCCAGTTGTGCTCTGTGGAAAGATTATCAGTCAAAGTGAAGACAGAACAATTGTGATTTGAATGCTTCCTTTTTTGCTTATCAGTTTAGTGTAATTGCCTCTCTAATCGATCCAACTGGAACAACATTTTGCCTCCGTGAAGCTCAGAGTAAAAACACAAGATGAATGGAGATGTTTTACAATAGATGCCCTTTAGGATCACAGTACAATTTCATAATCAGTAAGCATTTCAGTCAACAACATTTAAAGCAGGAAGTGGTTAAACAAAGTGAATATGTGTCATATTTGTGTTCACTCATGGAAAATAGTTGAGTCCAGTGAGTTAAGTGAAATTAAAGTTTGAATTCTATAAAGAAAATTATTCACAGGGAACAACTTACCTGTGGTGGAGACTCCCATGTTCTTAAAAAATCTTCTTTGGCTTTAGCTAAGAACTCTTTCACTGTAAAAAGAGACACAAGTGTGACTTATCAACAAGTATTTGGTTTTCACAGAAGTTCAGTTAACATTTTAAGGGAAAAAAACAAACTGGGGCACTTTACCGTGTTTGGGAAAATAAACAAAGGCAGTTCATATTTTCAGGGAAACAAAGGCATTTTAAGGTCAGGCAAATGTCAAGTACTGGGGATGCAGGACTTTACTTAAACTGGAACAAAATAAAATCTCCTTAAAAAAATACTTAAAACCACACGTAGGATATTCTAATTCTTAAAGCGATGCAAAGAGCTTTTTTGTGGACTTTACAGAAATGGCCAATTCGTAGACAAGCTATTCTGCATCCCTTTCAGGAGAAGGTGGAAGTAAAGTGGGGAAGGCAGTAATAGTGCAGAGAACAAAATACAAAATGCAAAACACAACTGAGGCCACAGTGCAGGCAGTAGAAAGAGTGCATTGTGAAAGTCACAGCAGACATGAGATGTCCAAAGTCACAGAGTCACGGCAGGTATCTAATGTCTAGTTGGTGTTGCACTTGGTATGAAGTTGCTGATTTAAACAATACCTGGCATTAAAGTACTATGTGGAAGCTGTATGTTAACCGGCTACCCAAATTACCTCAATCTTTGTAATATTAAGATGAAGGATAATACAAGCCTGGTAGGCCTAAACTGCTGAACGACTATCCTCTGTGACTAAGGATCACTCATGGAATAATTAGCATACCAAAAGTCTCTACAGTTCACCAAGGAGTTTGCAGGAACATTCACCCACATGGATGGAAATGATGGAGAAGAGAAAGAGAGGAAGAAACATTTATGAAGAGCTTAAAACAAGAACATTTGGGATTCAAGTGGTTTAAATGAAACACACAACAAAATGACACTGAAGAAGACAATTAACACCTGAATACAATATTCTACATTTGTAACAACACCACTATTTGGGTTGGAAAACTACTATAACTTAAACATGAAAAAAATGGCTAAAACTAAGTCATAGAGTTTGAAATCTTATCAATTACATCAGGTATTCTTCAATATGTACACCTAATTTTCTCTTTTAAGTTTCTCTTTCTTGACAGAATTGGAGAGGTTTTTCATTATCCTACACTACACATCTGTCACAAAGACTATAAAAAAAACAGTGATTGAAAGGACATTGTAATAAGCACACGTAAAACACATTTTAAACTTGCAGCACACAAAAATGAAAGGACAAAGATGATGCAAGCGACTGAAGCACCACAAATGGCTTCCCCTACAAAGCTGCTTAATACGGATGTCTCTGGTGAATCAGGAATGTGTGCCTAAAGAACCAACAAACTAATAATCAACCATGTATATTAAAAATAAAAACGACTTAATCAAATGTAAACCAATTAACAGACCTGAATAGTTTAGACTCAAACACCAACTGGGTTATTATATACGCTTCATCAAAATAGTTTTCCGACATACGAGAACTAGAAAAGCAAGCCGAGACTTGTCAAAGCTGCAGATCGTGGCAAACACATTTTTCTGTGTAAAAGCAACACATCACACTTACTGAACTTATCCCACATGATGGTGAACTCAGAGATATAAGGCACCTCACTCTCTAGTCCTTTTTGCTCTTGGCTACTCTTACGACATCTATGGAAAAGGCGGCTTGCGAAGGATTGGTCCTTTCCCTGGGCCATTTGAGACAAATTCCCTGAGGCGCGCGGCACGAAAAGGCTCACAGACAAAGACAACTTTTCACCCTGAAGACCAACGAGTGATACGAACTTCCTGTATGCAGCCGAGCGCACTGCAATGCTTGGCTAACCACATAAAGTCGAGCTTCCTGTTCGAGTACTCTGCTTCAGTTTCAGCGGACAACTGTATGTCTACTCTTTTACATGGTGTGGAAAACTCTAATAGGTCTCCAATGTGACGTTGCTTTGACAAAAGGTATACAAAGGAAGCGAAGCACACAGGCCAGCCTCCTAAGGTTATGTCAGAAAAATCACACAGCTGTGGTGCATTCAGAGTGCTGATAAGGAACAGTAGACCTGTAACACTCACTGACTGACTTAGAGGGAAGTTACCTCAAGGTTATCCTGCTCTCTGGTGGTAAACTTTAACAATGCAGTGCTTCAAAGAGCTCTGCCCTGTGCTGAAAAGTCAACCTTATGAACAAACCCTCATCTAGAAAAAAAAGTTGTTTTCCACAAATGTGGGTTTGTTTTGTACTGACATCGGGGTGGGCTCCTCTGGATAATACTTAAATTGTAAACAATGTGTTTCTATAGGTTGTTGTTTGCATCACAATGTTATTGTACACAACCCTCAGCCCGTCCCTACATAAACTACAGGTGGCTTGAGGCTGTAAAACTTCTGGACTAATGCCAATCAGAAAGCAGGCCAAGATCAGAGCTCCAGACAGACAGTTTAGTGGATTACTTTGGTCATTACTGGCAAATGCTCACTAGACACAACAGAGTGCCCTTCGGCTTCTGCTTTCAAATGATTGATGGAGCACTTCAGATTGCAAAATTGATATTAGACAGGTGTAATTTGACTAGGACGTGCGACCGTTCCTCTATGTTATAGCATCAACAAAACAAGTTAATGTCACTGTAAGAAAGCAGAAATAGAAGCATAACAATGTAATTTAGAGTTAACTTGTTGGTTGAATAGAAAATGTTTTAAGCCATTGTGTAGGCCCTAACCAAAAAAACACTTGTTTATCATTAACATCAATAGCACATTTTAAACACATTAAGCAGCCAACTTGTCTGCCAGTCGTTATACTTGGCATTGACTAGGCCTTATATGCAGCTTAAGTAGAAACCAATGTTTGCTGATGTTATCATGCTCCAGGCAGCTGAAAAAAACACTTTGGAAATTAAACATGGTGCATTGATAACTTCAGTTGTACAGAGTGAACAATAAGAACATCTTTCATTTCGTTGATTCAATTATTTGTATCTGCATGTGGGAAACCTTCAACAGGATTATTAGGAGGACCTCACTGTCTGCTCGAATGTCACTTTCAAGAACTAGGTAGCTGCATCATCTGTGGCACCAGGTGGAATAAGCAAACAGACACCATTACGAGGGAGCTAACAAACCTTGTAGAGTACCATACCAAAGATGGTTATTCTCTGCAGCCCATGTTACTGTACTGACTGCTAACACTGGACACTGCTAAAGGCTCCCTGACTTCATGATAAGGTTAGATGGCTGACAGGCTAGCTGGATGGCTTTCAGGTACTCACCGCTTTCTTGCTCGTTGCCTTTCTTGGCAGTTGCTGCGTTTCCCATCGTAGGAAGACAGGGCGATGCACAGCTGTCTAGGAGCGATGATGGTGGCCGTTAGCTAACAGGGTCCTCCGTTAGCTAGCTAACAAATATCAGCTTGTGCTAGCGGGTTGGCTAACAACAACATTAATGTCTTCTCCTTGTGGACCGAACCTCGACGTGCTTTGCTAACCGCCCAGATGATCGTTATTTACAATGTCCTTTGTGGTTCAAGTATTCCTCCGCTGGAATGAAAACATGATCCAGACTTTTCACCTCTGCCTGCTGTCGTCTTGTGCTGCGTTCACGTCATATGGGAATACCCACAGAACAGAATTAATGGATGAAACGCAGCTTTCAAGGGCCGGTTGTAAATCATATACACTCATACATCACGTTTACTGTATGACCAGTGATCAATCAGTGGCTAAAATATAAAGTATATTGATATTTGGATTTTAGATTGTTAAGATTTTTATTTAGTTTTTAGTTTTTATTCCACTCATGGCAATTATTATAAAGCAAAACTAGTATACTCTGTAAGCTTTTTTTTTGTAGAAAATGATGGAAAGGAGCAGTGAGAGGAAAGTCTTATTTTACCTGTCCCTTACTTATTAGGATCAGTGTAAGAGGTGCATGACATACTGTATACAATTGTAGATGGACATTGTGGCCATCACATGCAAGGAAGTCACGACTTTCACAATGTTTTTGAGGTGTTTGGTCATTTAAAAACATCTTTCATCATTAAAGTTTTCTGACAGGCCATGGATGAATGCAGCTTTGAAATACCACCACTCATAAAGTTATTTCGTTCATTCATTCCATTGTTCATTTCCAAAATAACAAAACCACCCTCCCAGTATCTACCTTATTAGAAATATCCCGTTTAATCCTACAGTTAGGAATTGGCATCGAAAAATGGAGTGATGAACATCTTGCAAGTTATGGTTTATGGCATTTCCCACACGTCTTGAATGCAGCATTTTTGACAGAACGGTTACAAACAACTTTGCGCACACAGGAAGTGATGTAATCCTCAGAGTCAAGTGGTTTTGGAAGAAAACATGCAGACCAGAGCCTCTGATGCAGACCATTGACACCGCGCAGTTATGCGGGTGGATTTGAGGACACAAAAGAAAAAACATTTAAAAAAAAGTGTATCCTTGTGGTGAGAGGCATTAGCAGTCACTTGGAACTTTTCAATTCTTCATTTTAAGTTAAAGGGGACCTATCATGCAAAATGCACTTTTGTACGTCTTTTATACATGAATATGTGTCCCCGGTGTTCCAGGGAACTCACCAAGTGTCAGAAAACACAACCCTCTCTATTTTCCTCCATACCCAAATCTCTAAAAAAGGGGCTGCAACGGATCTGATAAAAACTGATCCAGATTTGAACACTGTCCTGACGTCAGGACGGTGGGGCTACGGCTATTGGGCCAACTCCACCAATCAGGAGGAGACAACCACGGCATTGCCGTTCGAAAGCGCTGGAGACGCTGTAGTACATATGCCAGGCCTCTAGATGGTGCTGTTGCTCACAGAATCAACCCTTGCAAAAACAGAGCTAACATTTTTCAAATTGAGCTAAATGAGGCATGGCTAAAATGCATGATCTGTTTGGTATTTTGAAAAAAAAAAAGTATAAATATGCCTTATATAGGTATGGTCCTACACTATATTATTCAAATATAGCATGATAGATCCACTTTAAATAGTAAGTGACTACATGTTCATCTTACCAAAATAAACAAAGGTCAACTCTATAGGTAGTCTTATTATTATTAAAGAACATATCTAGGATTAAAGGACTAATGTCACAGCAGGATTTGGAAAAACTTGTCCATGCTTTTATCTTCAGTAGACTCGACTACTGCAATGGTGTCTTTACAGGCCTCACTAAAAAATCTATTAGAAAGCTGCAGCTAATTCAGAACGCCGCTGCTCGAGTCCTCACTAACACTAAGAAAGTGGATCACATCACTCCTGTTCTGAAGTCTTTACACTGGCTTCCTGTGTGTCAAAGAATAGATTTCAAAAATATTGTTGCTGGTTTATAAAGCTTTGAATGGTTTAGGCCCAAAATACATGTCTGACCTACTGCTAAATTATGAACCATCCAGAACCCTCAGGTCTTCAGGGACTGGTCAGCTTTCTGTCCCCAGAGTCAGAACTAAACATGGTAAAGCAGCATTCAGTTATTATGCTCCGAATATCTGGAACAAACTCCCAGAAACCTGCAGGTCCGCTGCAACTCTTACTACTTTTAAATCCAGGCTGAAGACTTTTCTTTTTGCCGCTGCTTTTAATTGAACTATTCACATCTTAAACTGCACTGTAACTTTTAACTTTTATCCATGTATTTTTTCTTTTAATGTTTATTTTATTATCTTTCCTTTTTAATGACTGATTTTAAATGCCATTTTTAAAATGTCTTCCATTTTTGTAAAGCACTTTGAATTACCTTGTGTTGAAAGGTGCTATATAAATAAACTTGCCTTGCCTTGCCTTGCCTTATTGAAACTGACTTATACATGTTTTGTGCACACATGCACTGTCAAATGCAAAATGTCAAAAATGACAAACGCACAAGTTCGTTGAGTCAGGATGCCCATATCCTAAAATATTCATTGTCTTTGAATGATCAAATAAATCAATATATATATATATATATATATATTAAAACCGTATATAAAGTATACGGTTTTAATATAAACCATCTGATATACCCCTGTCTCTTTTTTATCGTTTGATTTGTATACTATTTATCTATTTGTATAGCCTCCTGTATCCGTATTATGCATCTTATATAAGCTATATATATATATATATATATATATATATTGTCAGTCTAATGTCGACACCTATATAATTTAGTGGCTTTAGTGATACACATGTTATGATTGTCATCATTGATGTATCTTCTATATGAGTCAAAGGCAGATTATTGTTAGTTTAGGACTAAGCTAGAACCTAGGTTACTACATGTTAGCTGGCGCTGACAGTTAACTATCAAGTTTTTAACTTTAATTAAATAAACATAATTTAGTGGCGAGAAACACGATTGTCATATAACATAATGTTAGCTACCTTCTTATACAGTCACAGTGCATGACATTAAGGATTTTGGGAGATGGCCCTGTGGGCCATCTAAGCTAATTTACAGATTTCCCTGAGCCCAATAGAGATTTTTTAAATCTTTTAAAAATCTCTATTGAATTTGAAAATACACAACCGGAGAAAATCTGCCACTTCCTTACAGAGCCCCTCCTCCAACACACACGAACGCGCACATGACCAATGAGGGCACGAGATAAGTTTGTGCACAGATAGAAGGCTGACAGGCAGGTAGGCCATCCAGTTATTTTAGCCGGGCCGGCTAAAATGATTGGTCGTGCTACGGCTTCCACAGATGACATTTTTTAATGGATTTTTTGTCAAAGCACTTAAGATATTCATTGCTATCGGGATGTTAAGAGCATTCCATGGAATATAACAAAAAGTGTATCTCGAGCCAGTTTCTCAAACTTACCTACCCCACCTTTAACCAAGGCAAAGTCCTCATATGTGTAAACTGAGTTGGCTATAAACCTGCTTCTAATCCTGAGTATGTCTTAAGTATAAAGACATATCTGACTAGAAATTAGACAATTACACTTGGCCAGATTTCAAGTTTTTGCAGTGTGCTGTCATTAACTTCCTCATCTCAGTCCACACACGTTTTCAAAATATGATCAGATCTTCAATATTAGGAGCATTAATGCAGGTGCTGTGGCTTAGTTGGTCAAAGCGCCTGTTTAGTAAACAGGAGGTCCTGGGTTCAAATCCCAGCAGCGCCTCATGTAAAAGAGAGCAGTTTAACTGAATAACCTGAAGATGCCTCTTTAGATTTGAGACAATGCTGATAGATGACCCAAAAACTCAAATTCATAGTTTTTTAATTTCAGATTGCACACACTTGTTTTAAACTATAGTATATCCAATGTTTATATTATTTTGTTAAAGTTGTAAATTGGTCTTTTAAATAGTATTATTACTGTCATGCCATGTCTGCTGTAGACATGCATGTATTTACTGTTTATGTTTATTTAAAAAAATAATGTTAATGATATTTTTAACTCATGTGCATTGATATGGTGAGCGTCATAGAAACAATTGCTGATTTTGGGGATACAAATTGACAAACAGAGGTTATATAAACATTATTATATTTCTGTAATTGTTTTCAGTAAGAAGGAATATTTCTGGGCTCACTGGTTTTCAGATTTCAGAGGAAAATACTGAAAGCCTTGTTGCTGTTGATCTTCCCCTACAATATAAATTCCACTCCTTATTCTGTAGAATATTTACCTTTTTCAAACACTCACATTTATATATTCATTGCTATCGGGATGTTAAGAGCATTCCATGGAATATAACAAAAAGTGTATCTCGAGCCGGTTTCTCAAACTTACCTACCCCACCTTTAAGCTTCAATGCTGCTCAAATTGTGACGAATTGCCAATAAATAAAAAACTTTAAGAAATGCGGACTTCTTTTAAATTCAAGACCGTTTGTGCTATAGCTTTTAATGGATTTTAATTATAAATAACTTTTTAACTTGTGTGTTTTTTCCTGTTTGCTTGAATTGTTTTCATTAAGTTTGTTATGCTTGTGTCTTTTTACAGTATGGAGGACCTGCTGTATAAAGTGTGCTAAATATTTATATTGTTGCATCGATTCAGTTGTCTTGTGTCTTATCTGTCGGAGAGAAATCATTATTTATTTTATTGTATTTTATTTTTATTATCATACCTTTTACCTCCTTGTGTCTCTTAACCTGTTAACATTTTATATTTTGCTGCGTGCACCTGTACAGTTTTTAACATCTAATCTGAGGGGAATTTCTTGTTGTTTATTTTTAACTTGTGATGTGTGCCATTTTGTAAAGCGCTTTGAGCTGCATGTGTTGTATGAAAAGTGCTATATAAAGCTTTATTAGAATTATTATTAAATAAAAATAAATGTGTCTTATCTTGCTTAGAAAAAGAAATAAAAAATCTGAAAATATAAGTAGGCAAGCAAGAATCCGACACAGTTTGAGGAATATGTATGCGTTATTACATCGAACAGCTAACAATAAGTGAGTGGCACCTTGTGACCTCTGAGCAGGACGTACCCATAATCCGCAGGGTTGTTTTTTAGCACCATGGTCAGCGACACGGTTGCTAGGTAGCTTCCCTGTGTTTGCATCAGCTAGTTGTGGCAGACGAGCTGCATCGAAACCTGACCCAAAAGTGTATGAAATATTCCTTGCGGCTTTGGTAAGCCTTTTGTTGCCCCTTACAGCTAGTTACGAGTTGAATATAATATGTGCTGACTTTTCTTGTACGTTTTACAGTACACCAAACGTCATGCTATTACCAAATTGAGAATGCAAACTTCAGCACTTCAATCAGCCACCCCCTCTCTTAGGGAACGAATGGTTTAGCCCATGGACTCGCTCCAGCACACAAGAGGACTACAAGATACAGATTTTTTTGTCTGTCAACCAACGTCAGTTTTCAGTAGTAACACAACATAAACACTGCCATATTGTTTATTATACACTCAGGACAGGGCTGTTTCTTTAAAAGAGGCCCCAGTGTCGCACTTAACGGCGGCTGTGTCGGTTGGATGTGACCAGCAGGGAGCTGCACTGCCTGGAATACATAAGGTAACGTTAACGGGCTACTTCGCGTTACCCTCTCCATCCTTTGCTAGGTAGTGCGGCTAAGCTAACTGTAGAGTAGCCCAGGGTCATCATGTTCCTTCTGAATCATTAAACTGCATCTCATTCAGGAGTGTTTATTTCATTTCGATGTTACATTAACTGAAAAGGCCCTCGTTCACAGTGCAGTTAAACGTTAACGTTGCGGTCACGCTGCATTTGATGGAAAGCAACATTGCCAGATTGCTTCCTTGTGTGATCCTTCCACCTGACTTATAGTACACTGGCTAGTGGCTAGGCGAACGTGTGCTAACGCTTGCTAGCAACTTATTGCATACACCTGCTTACGTTTTGTGACATTACATTTTGTCATGCAACAACAATATCCCGAAATATCTTGATATCCAAGATATAACATGCGTGTTTAAGAAATACATCTTGCACCAATCTTAAAATACAGACAATATGTATTAAAGGGGGATGGCCTACTATCCTTACAGTGGTCTGGGACATACCATATTGCTTGCTTTGCTGTGACAAGCATATGTCCTCTCGCTGCATAGCTTTTTAGCTCAGGCTAGCTTTGCATCTGTCTTGGTATGCAATACTTTTGCTGACGTTTAGCTGTGGATGCTCAGACCCTGGTTAATTACACGAGGGAGGTTGTTTGAAGAGCCGTTTGATTTAGAGGTCTGTTTGTAGTATTGTGTGCCACTTAGAAACCACATGCTGATAAAGCACCCTAGAGATGACCAATTCCTAAAGAGCAAGGGGATTACATAATAATAACAACCTAACATATGCTAGAGGTATGGATGGCATCCTGCGTCCTGGACCTATTCTAATAGATAAGGCTAATAAGAAGGATATGATATTTACAATATTTTATTTTCATTCAGGCTACATTACGCATTCTGCAATTGTTATTACAGTTAAAGTTACTACAGGATTGTAGTGCTTATTCCAGCACAGCACCTACAGCATCAGAGCCAGTTGGTTTTTATTTTATTTTTTATTGGGGTTGGCTCAATTTCGATTTATTATTTTTTATCGTTATAATAATAATGATAATACATAAAAAACAAAACAAATGGCCTACATGTTGTAGGCGCACTGCTGCAAACAGCACAACAATGATGTATAAACCCAAAAAACAAAGACTCAACTCAATTCAAAGACAGATTCATTTAGACAGGTTTACATTTTTGAATGACATGCCAAATGCACAACAGTTCATTTAATGTTTGTGTCAGCAGCTGGTTTGTTTGACCTGGTAGGCTTTGCTTGACAGGGGCATTCTCTTTTATCTGGCAATGATCACACTAGCTTAGGTATACATTTAAACCAAGGTGTTTGATTAACATTTGAAACCCTTTTTATATGTGTTGTTGCACTGTACACATTTCAAGCATACTTCGTTATAACAATGCATTGCTTTAAAACAAAATTCTTATTGCAACCGTAAGTTATTTGCCGCTCTTTGTCTTACAGAAAACAAGTTCAGGCAAGATTGTAATTAATATAAATTATACAAAAAAGTGGAATTTTACAATGGGACATTTTGCCAGTATCACTTTAGATTATTTCTGAAAAAGTTAAGATTAGCATTCTGTTGTTTGTTGGTGTATTTCAGTATCCTGTGGGCTGACATCTCCCACACTAGCTCCTACTCATATCTGGGAAAAGGCAGGAAGCCAGAGATGGGTCAGTGGTTGGAGCTAAGTTTAGATCCACTGGCAATTCTACACCAGCTACTTTCCTGTGAGAGTAATCCGCAAACTCAGCTATCATTTTTCACTGGAGGACAAAGTGGTTGTAGCTGCAAAATAGATAATGAAAGGAAATAGTTTCTTGTAAAACATACTACATTTTTGTGAACATTGGCATTGTGTCTTTAGAGTGTAAGAAAATGTATTGTCAAAAGGATTTGTACTATTTTTATAACAAAAGCTCTATTTTCTACTTGAAAAGTATTTTGTTTACATTTGCTTTTCAAGGATGTGTAATAGTACACCATGTCTTCTTCTTAGTTGGTGTCTTTGTCCGTTTAAATGGTGTTACATACCCTGAGGTCCCTGCACTGCTATAGTGGCAAGACTGGTGCATACTGCATGTACAGAAAATAACTTGTGTCTGCAAATCCTGCTGACATAAGGCTAAGTGGTGGTTCCCCAAGCCTTTTTGTATTGATTCTGTATTTGACGACTGCTTTCAAGATGTAGTTCCATGTTAGGCAGGGAGAACATAAAACAAACCCTCCAGGGAAGTACTGCTGGCTGTTGAAGGGACTTGTGTAATAGGTGTGACACCGCTTGTCATAAATAAACAGTCTGCTGTTTTGGTAAAGCTTTCTTCCTTGGCACCCTTATTGTAAAGCTATTTTTGCTGTCCTTCTGAAGTTGCTTTTGATATAAAAGGTAGTACCATTGTCTTAAGATAGAGGAATATGATAACAGTGAAGAGGAATATCTAGGAAGAGTTTTGCAATACTTGACTTCCGTATATTAGTTTCAAAATATCCTTGTGATGTAGTTTAAATTCTGCAGGCCAAATAAATATATATGAGAAGGGTGGCGTACAGTAATGAAACACATGTATTAACAACTTGTGCTGGTTAATTCGACAAACATGCATAACAACACCCTAAAAGACAGACAGGCTTTTGTCATGCCTTTAGGGCTTGTGAGACAGAAAGTGATGCAGATGAGCAGCATGAAAAGCTGACTCTCTACAATGAGGCCTTTCTGTGTTGTGTGTGGCAAAGGGGAAGTGCATGAGATCAGCATCATTAGGAGCTGGGCCTATTCAGCTCTTCTCTGCTGTTGTGGCGCTTTGGCTCACTCTGTTGGAGAAGAAACGTCACTGCACCGGAGGATTAACAGTAGATACAGTGTTTAGTGGAAGGGATTTAGTAAAGATGTAATACTACACTGAAGGATTATTAATGATGATGCTAGCAGCAAAATATATTACATCTTCGAATACACTTCAAAATCCTTCTGCTAACACACAAAGTTCTCAATAACCAGGCCCCCACCTACCTCACCGACCTGATCCACCACTACACCCCTTCCCGCAGCCTTCGTTCATCAGAAGCGAACCTCCTCTCTATCCCCACACGAACCAAGCTCCGAACCTGGGGGGACAGAGCCTTCTCCATCGCTGCCCCCACCCTCTGGAACTCCCTTCCACAACACATCAGAGACTGCACCGACCCCCCCCACTTTCAAAACACTGACCAAAACACACCTCTTCAGACTGGCTTTTAATTTGTGAATTATGTTGTGTTGCTGTTTTAATATTTTTGTATTCTATTTTATCTCGTTTTTATCACCACTGTAAAGCGTCTTTGAGCACCTGAAAAAGCGCTTTGAAATTAAATGTATTATTATTATATTGGAATTAAATTCTTTCAAAGTTTACTTTTTTTTTTAGTTTGTTTTAATGTTGTATTCCCTTAAATCTTGTAAACAGTGACTTAAAGGTTTGTAGAAACCTTTAAGACGGGGCAAACCTAACAGCAGCTACTGTAGCACATGCTTTTGCATAAAACACTATATACTTAACACGAAAGTGACAAATACAATTATTTTAATCTAAAGGATTGTCTCTATTTAAATAATATATATTTTCTATTTTATGAACGGTAAGTACAATTAGTGCAGTGATAGGAGACTAATGGCATGCAACAACATTCACTGAGCTCATTTTACATCTGTGACATTACAACAGGATGTCCTGCTGAAATCCTTCTATCAGTCAGTGACACACTGTAGTCTGTTGTCCGATTACACTGAATTCTCACTTCTATTATGTGAATGCATGTAAAAGGCTCTCTTGCAGCTAATAACTACCACCAAGAGGAATGAGCAAAACAGGACAGAGCCTCCCTCTGCTGGCTACCAAAGGGGCTCCACTGTGACCTTATATGGTAGTCAGGCAAACAAGCCTAGATAGGAATCTATGTTGACATTTCACTCTACGAACCGCAATGAATTCATTTTTTTCACATTACCAGAGAGTATCTTTGAAAACTAAATTTCTATTTGCAAAATGTGCTTCTCTCTCAGTTATTTTCGAAGCTTCATTTTTGGCCATGGTAGTATATTAAATTGTAGCATTTAAGATTTGAAACAATGCGGTTAACATCAACAATAATTCATTCTGACATAATAGGAGATAATACAAATAATGTTCCAGTATGTCTACTTTTGTTGACAATACTGATGTTGAAAAAGAAGATAAAATCTAAATTCTGAAGATTCATAATCTGGCATTTTGCTAAATAATTAGGATTAACATTAGTCAACGTCAAAGTCAACTTTAATGTACATTTTTCTGTGTGTTTGTACAGACAGAGAGATCGAAATAACGTATCCAACAATCCCGAATACATAATACAAATATGTATAAATATGTATATCCTCTATATATACAATCTAGACTGTATACACATATGCACACATTAAGATAAAACACAACAATCAATATATACAAAATAACAAAATAACAGTCACTTCAATATGTTAGGGAATGTACATAGTGCAAGATTGTCCATAGCAGCGTAAAAAAGTTTCTGGTGCTGGAATTGAGTACTACATTGTGTGTATTTTTCAAAGATAACTTGAATTAAGTGTAAAGTCATATGTTTGTTTTGAGTTCAGTGGCATTATATGTGCCTGTCAGATCCCCCCCCCCCCCTTGTTCCGGTGGGATTACATGACAGCGAGGTCCAGTGCTCCTATAGCAACAGTGCTTCCTGCCTCCTGTACACAGAGCCAGCACACCACTGGGATGTGGGGGCAGGTTGTCAACAACACAGCCTGCCTCACTTTATCACCCTGACTCTTTGTTGTTGCTCTCCCCCTCTGTGCTGATCTCATTCCAGTCTCTGTCCTCCCCCGGATCAATGTCTCGTGCTTACCACAAGCAGACCCAGAGGCTGACAGTGAAGACCACTGTGTGATAAAGTCATGCGATTGGATTGTTTCCCCGTTCCAATTTGTCCAGTGGATGCTGATCGAATCGATAGGGTTGCTTTTTAAGTTAGTCTGTGTATCTGTACATGTGTACGTATGGGTAAGTAAGTAAAACATTTGAAAATAGGAAATGTGCTTTTCAGTTTTCTCACCACTAGAGGCTACTGTTGATCTCTGTATGAAAGGCAGAAGTGGCAACATAAGCAAGTGTACTGTGCATGTAGCCTAACTGGTGTATAGGATTACTAGTTTATTCAGTTAAACTGCAAAGTAAAGTTAAAAATATAACTGTTATATATTTTCCCTTCCTGTATTTTAATTTTAAGAACTATTAAACTAATAATAATAAAGAAAAATCAAAGCAGGCTAAGATACATATACTATACTTGTTTCTCTTTTAACCCTCTCACAACACTTCAGATTAGTCCTCCAGTTGTTGTGGGCTAAATCCACTTGCATTGATAATTTCGCCTCAAATTGAGCAGCTACTTGCACTATGTGACTTTAAAGGACCATAAGCAGCTGGAATTGTTCCAAGCATGCTTTATGTGTATGGATTCACTGTACAGACTCACAGAGATTCATACCCTGTGGGCAGTTTGAAGTCTCGGGGCCACCTGAATGCTGCTTTGTCTTAGTTAATTTGAAGAATTTGAAGCACCTGGACATGAGACCACAGGGACAACACGATAACCTGCAAACATAGTCCCTCACTTGTTTTGAGGCAACATTGCTAATAACCATGAGTCACTATGCTGCCCCTACCAGCAATAAACGATGTGACAGGGCATCTCATGCAATGGTTGATTACCCCCAAAAGTGGTTAGACGACACACTCTGACTGCAGCCAAACAATAACATAACAACTATAATTGTGCTTATAGAAATGTGTTTTTTTTGTGATTGTAGTTATTACATGTACAGCACTTTGGCCCGACCAAAAATCGCTTTTAAATGTGCTCTATAAATAAACCTTGATTTGATTTGATTTGAACAGAATTTGGCTGTTGACTGGTGTTCATTTCCCACACCACTTCATAGCCTGAAGCATCCTTTTAACAAACCACTGTAAAGATGCCATCTGTTTGAATGAAGTGACCTCTCAGCCATACAATGAATCCAAGCTGGCACCAGCATCACACACAGTGAGATTCTGCAAACCCTTCACCTGACAACCACATTAATATTTCACAATTGTTCCACGGAATACCAATTAGTCCAGTGAACGTCACACGGCTTTGGATTATTTCATTAGCAGTACTGCGGTGTCAGAGCTGTACGGAGCTCTCACTGAACTGTTACGCTGGGTGTCAGGCTGACTGATGTAGCCTGTGATAGGCCTGCTAGCGGCTACTGCGTTACATCAAAAGCATGTCCAATGCACTTCAGTCCGGTGAGAATATACACACAGATCCTTAGTGTGCACTGTACTCACCCCCTGAGCTTAATACTACCATCTTTTTTCTTCTCTTCCACAGGCATTCCTATCCATCCCTCTGTCCATCCCCTCCCTCCCTCTCTCCTCTTGGGGCTGTATAGACCCTTGAGAGCCCTCCCCCTCCCACTCTTCTCCACCACTGCTACCCCCTTTCTTACTCCCCTGCCCTCTGAGATTTTGCTGCTGCTCTTTATGTTGCTGAGAGGCGCCAGGGAGATGCTCAGATGATCCATTGGGCCATCTCGCACAACATCGTCGGTAGCCCAAGACAGTGAAGACCAACAACAGAGAGTGTGACAGAGCCCTTGGAGGGGCTGCGAGTACCCTGTGAGGCCCACCCGCACACCAAGCCTGGCTGAAAGCTCGGCTTGCCCCCTCATTCCTCCAGACTCTGAGATGCCCTCTCCTCCCAATGAAGGAGGTGAGTAAGAGAGGTCCAACTCTCTCAGGACTGACAGAGTTATTCTGTTAGATGGTTACATGTTTTCTGCACACACACCTGACCACCTGCTCATTTACCTGCCTGCCATCATCATCATACTATTCCCCCATGCATAGAAACTACACACACACACAAGATTATGACAGAACGATCATGATACATGCAGCTATAGCATATACGCGCAATTTATTTACACCCCAGCCCCATAAACAAAACCTACTAAATCCCCTGCAGACAGTGTCAAATATGTTACAATTCTCCAGCAACTCATGCTCCCCTCCCAGTCCGGAGCACAAGCTGTGACTGAATCTAGTGTTGTTGTATGCCGTCTCTTCCTCCAGAGGATCAAGGAGCGTCCCCCGTGAACAGGCCATCTGTGGGCTCCTACCAGAGCAGTGGGAAGAGGAAGGTGCGCACCAAAAAGAAGAAAGGCACCATCTCCGCCAACATCACTGGCACCAAATATGAGATTGGTACGGTAAACTATTTCTAATGATTTGAATTCGCTTTTGAAATGACAGTTCCACAACAATACATATATCTGTTAAATTAAGATAAAAATGTATCTGAAACAAGTTTGAAAAAAGAGCTAAAACAGAAACAGGACCATGCATCACAGAAATGTCAGTCTACAAAGATAAGATATCTTTTGATCATAGAGTTTGTCTTAATGGAGCTAGTGCAGGATGAAAAGAGGCTTTCTTTGAGATGGGTGATGAAACCCTTTCATTGATGTATATTATCCTATTGATGTTTTTGTCAGAAAACAAGGTAGTGCTTGAAATGGTTTAGCAGTAGTATTCCTATTGTAGTTTCAGTTGTAGTATACCTTTACCTATTCTTTTTGCAGGTAATTACTCACAGTTATTAGATGTTGTTAGATGTGCTATTAACTTTCATACAAAGTAAAGGATAATTGTCTGGTACCTTTATGTCTGATCTAGCTAAATTGTGTACGCTAAGCATGTACTCCAAAGCCTCACATTTCAAGCTTCTGAGTTTATATTTAAAGTTGGGTTGTCTTTCACGTAAGATAAGTGTAGTGTGTGACACAGTGAATTGTAAATTAATTTTGGAAACAGCTCTCAGTATGACTCAGTCAGTCCATCAAAACACAGCAAATCTAATCACAATGTTATCTCAGCAATAAACAAAAATACACTGCAGATTTGACTCGCAACAATAAAATCTAATTTTGCTGTGGTGGATTGTTTGAAGTAGACCGTTGTTATTTAATGTTTTAAATTAAACCTAATAGAGTTGCAGACCTGCAACAGTTCACACAGAGACAGCTCGGCCTTACATACAAACATAAATCTTTATTGAGGTAATTTAACTTGGCAGTGATGTTTTTTGAGAAGGGCAAACAGAAGCAGTAAGCACTCCTCACATAGACAGTATATGCCAGTGTGGCAGCTCCAGCTCTCAGGGGTGAACTACAACCTATGAAACTAAGGAGTCAGCAGCAGCAAGTACAAGTTGAGGGCTGCCTGGATCCTGTAGGTAGATGGGAGTCTAGCTGTGAGTTAGTTCGCTTGCTGTGACGAGAGTCTCACAGTGGCCATTCTGAGAGCAGTGTGGAGCTATTAAGAAGGAAAATTAACACTAAGGGCCAGATGGATGGCTCATTTTTGCTGTTACCTTTTACGCAGCTGTCTTTTTTTTTGTTTCGGAATTTATAGTATTGCAGGTATGGGTTAAAGGTCAGAGAAAATGCTGTTGGTTTGCTTTACACCCTCTGAGAAGGCAATGAACACTCTGGCTCTAAGGATGACTGTTACGTGAGACGTGTTAGAAAGGATTGATTACAGCTGGTACTAAGACCCTACTGGTAAATGTAAGCATAGACCTGCTGTGATGTAAACCCTCCCTGTTCCAGTTAGCAAAACACTGTTAGCCTCTACTGACGTTAACAGATGGATGAAGTTACATCGGAAACACCTTTTTCCCATTCAAGTGCCACCATGCAACATTAGGCAAGCCTTCTCCAGGTTTGTGAAGGCTTTCAAGAAATTAATTAATACCCTGTTTCGTTAGGGCATATGAATATTTCATTACTCACTGAATAATGAATAGTTGTCGGATGAATGTCCAAATGGGCTCGCCACCCATCTCTCATACTATGGGGTTTCCAGTGGGATTTGAATGCATTACAGACAATTAATTCATCTTTTTGAAGAGAAGCATTACGATTGGCTGCTCTGCAACCATTCCATTAATGGTAAATATTACTGGGAGCTTTTTTGATCTATTATCTCCTGGACTGATTCCTCTCTTAATGTCTGCAAAAACAGAAATTAAGGCCAGCAAAGAGTGAAATATTGATCCGTTCACTAGAAATATTTGATACGTGGGTCAAAGTCACATCCTGCTCAATGAAGGCCTGTGAGTGCTACTTTGGGTTAAAAAATAAAGGCCTAAGAAACCAGTGGAGGGGGGTAATATTCATAGAAAATACATATACTTTTTGAAATTAAAGTTATACAATTGTGACAAGTTAGTGAGAAGGTGCAACAGTATGTGACATGACTATATTCTTGAATCTGTTCACTGCATTGTAAATGCTGATCCACAAAATAAATCCCCTCATCCAAACTACAGTATGTTGTTTTCTTGTGAATAGGTCCAAATCACGACAATGTCTCTTCAAAGTTTGGATGCTTATAATAATGTGCTAATTCTGGGCTGAAAACTCAGTTTCCTTATTGCTAAATCCAATAACAAAGTATAATTTGATTAGGACATCAACTTCAGACATAATACATAGCAAGCGGTGGCGTCTGTGGTGAGATATGGTTTATCTAACCATGCAAATTCAAGCGATGTTGGTTCTTGACAAAAAACAAACATTTCCTGATTTCTTTTTAATGTAAATTTACAAATTGAACCCCCAATATTCCTCATTTATTTTCTAAGAATATTATGCCTCTTTGTCTTTGAGGACTTTCTGGTCATGGGTGAAACAAGTTTTGAAATTACTGCATAGTTAATTTTAATATTGTAATACGATCTAATGTGAATGTTTTTCCCCAGTTCGTATAGTAATCAACGAGGTGGACTACATCAAGGCCCGGGAAGATGATGAGACTGCCAACCTCATCTGGAATGACTCGGCCGTGCAGCATGAGAGAATCGCTGACCTCAGGAACTATCAGGTACACTGCATGTCAGCACACATTGTCCGGGAGCACCGTAGTCTTGAGCTAAGATATAAGGAGTGAGAATAAGGGTGTCAGTTCCAATTACTGCACTGAACAGGAAGAACAACTGGAACTTAACCTTTACAGTACTGTAGCAGCCGAAGACCATGATACTGATCAGCTGGATGAATGTAAAATATATGATATGTTTGCTTAACCAAATAGTCAAAATAAAATCAGCCGCCTCTGATTTGTATAGCACTGGTAAGGTGAGGAAGGATTTTACCTTAACACTAGAACCACCAACGGGTCAATTTTACCCGCAGCTGTTTTTTGATTGTATGTAACTTTTTTTCAATAAAAATATTCAAGTTTCCCAGTCCGTGACTTTTCCTGAAAGTGTGTTATGTAGCACCCTTTGTTGTTAAAAATGGTCAATATGAAGTCAGATTGAAAAAATAGCCCAAAAAATGCCATTTATACCTATATCCGCCAGCGGGTAATATTTACCTCATAGAAAATGCAGCATAAACATGACGTCTTTTGTCTACTGCGGTTCCTTATAGATAGAGAGATAGATTGAGAGAGAGATAGATAGATAGATAGATAGATTGATAGATAGAGAGAGAGAGAGATAGAGAGAGATAGACAGATAGATAGTTATAGATAGATCGATATATAGTTATAGAGAGAGAGCAGAGAGATTTGTACCTAAACAAAACACAAGTCTAACACCAAGCGTTTAAATCAGCAGTGTTAGCGATATTCTATACTTCATGCTATCTGCACAAACTATATCATATGAAAAGCTGAGAGTCCACAGATTCTATTGGTATATGTTTCATCCCTGTGCGATCAAAACTCACTGTTCTACATGATAAATAAAAGAACATTGTACCTTGAAAATCAATAGCGGGTAAATTTGACCCGTTGGCGGTTTTAGGTATACAGCGACCTCTGGCGGTTCTAGTGTTAAAGGAAAAGATGCAGAGGAAATGAAACAGTGGACCAAAGAGAAAGATAATAATAAGATGAAACAAACATGACAGCTACCACAACCCTTCCGTGCTTAGAGAATATTATTTAAACCTCTTTTGCTATAAAGAAAACAAAATCCCTTCTTTAAAATACACTCCTTTGATTAGAGGCAACATGACACCATTTCCTGCAGATTCTTCAAACAATCACAGCAGTTATTTACACTCTTATAGAAAGCACAATCCACTTATCAGAGTGATGCCTTTCTCCCAAGCCTTTACATAATTTACACTAAAATGTTATGAAATCTGAACTGCAACAAAACAATTTATTGAGTTTTTGTCAAATTTCAAACTGCAAAGAGAGAAAAATCATAACATCTTGAATGTATCACAGGATTTTTACTTCTTTAATGTATGTTTGCACACCAATCTGCCTTAAATTAAGTTTTTTAGTACAAATATAAGAATAGGTAAAGGAAAATATAATAAAAAAGAAGATTAGACCAGATGAAAGGGGACAGTGTATAGAGACAGATGGAGCTGGGAAAAGAAGATTAGGTTTAAAGTAGTGATAGTAGATGTCAGAATGAAATAAAATAGAATGGAAAGAAATGAAATAGGTGAAGCTGGACGTAAGACTCTGGATGTGTCCATGTGCTTTCCCTTAGACCCTGGGAGGTAAGAGGCAGACAGTAGATAGAGAAGAGAGGTGGACAGAGGGAGAGGGAACAACAGAGCGTACACAGAGACAGATAGGAAGATTGACAGGTCGACTGACAAGTTGTGAGCAGCAGGGGGTGGGAGGCAGGTTTCACATGTCACTAGTGATGATGACAAGACGGGCCTAAACAACAAGGCTAGCTCTGAGTTCTGTGTACTCGTCTGAAAGTGATCTTACCTCTGTTTGACCCCCCTGTCCTGCTGACTGAACTTGCCGCCGCTGCTCCCCCTTAGCTCCGAGCGTTAGCCATCCATCTTCCCGATCGCTTATTTGATTAGACTGGGCACTAATGATCGATTAAATCACAGACAGGAAGGAGTATGGCTTGTTAGGACAGGGGCAGCCAGAGTTCAGCAAAGTAGATTGAATATTACAAATACTGTAACAGCTTAACGTGTAGCAATGTGGCTAATGTTTTACCATAGAGCTGGTGATTTGCTGTCAATTGTTTTCACTTGCTCTCTCGCGCTGCTGCGCTGTTTCATGTGATAATTTCTCAGAAGAAAAGTAGAAGTCCCTCAACAATTGGTTTTGATTTCCCCTCACAAGCCACGTCGTCTCGCGGCATTGGCATAATTGTGCAATCTCTTCCGAATCCCTAATTACGTCTGTCTCGTTTGGATAATAATCACAGGATCCTTTTACACTCTGCGTTCTTGTTTTTTTCTCCCTCTGCTTCTCTCTCTCTCTCCCTCTTTTGATTCTTTCCTTTTTCCCCCCCATTTAGTGATGTACTGTGAGAGTTTGCTGTCAAGTTTCAGTTCATACGAGCCTAATTAACGCCCCTGTTCAGGCTCATTTGGTCAAAGAATACAGAAAACCCAGAGTTTTTCCTTTACCCCCCACCCCCCTTTCGGCGCATTCAAAGCAATTCATTCAACTGTCACTGCAGGAGCTTGCGATGCAGAACCAATTACCTCGGCCCCTCGGAGTTGAGATTGATCGTGTTTTTTTTTTCTCGCCTCTTCCCTCCCCAACCTTTAAAGTATAAAAAAAACACGGTAAACTAAATAAGGGTTGAGAAAGGTCTCAGCGTCACCTTTTTGTTTTGAGTCCGTAATTGGGCATAAATGTCAGAACATTGTAAGCTCACTTCAGGTTGCTGCCTTTAATGTGCTCATTTTTATGAAGGGGTGGGGGTGGAATTGAGTGGCGTAATGGCCCTAACAACATTATTATGTCTGCCTGTCCCTCTGCAGAGAATTAACCATTTCCCTGGCATGGGCGAAATCTGCCGGAAAGACTGCCTAGCAAGAAACATGTCCAAGTAAGTTTTCAAATGAGAGTCCTTTGGTTCAGATGTGCAAAAACACAAGAATGTCAAAGCTCGATTTGTAGCCAGCTAGCACTCTAATAAGTCACAACTGTGTACTTGTAGCGTCATTACATTACATCATTACAAGCCGAACGAGTAAAAGTAACTACTATAAAAGCATAAAATGAATCTTTATAGTGAATAAAAAATGCAAAATGCACGTTATCGTTCAAAATAAGTGCAAGACTGCAGATGGTTTAAAATGATGCTTTACTCCCACACACACCCCTTTCTTTTCTTCTTCAGAATGATCAAGTGCCAGTCTCAAGAGTACAGCTTCATACCCAAAACCTGGATCTTCCCCGCCGAGTACACTCAGTTCCAGAATTATGTCAAGGAGCTACGCAGGAAACGCAAGCAGAAGACCTTCATCGTCAAACCCGCCAACGGAGCCATGGGTCACGGGTAAGTCACGAAAGCCGATCCATGAAAGAGAACGAGAGAGACTGATGCAGGAACTAAACAACATACTGAGGGGAGGATATTAGCACTAGAGAAAATAGAGGACAAGCACAACAAAACAAGACAATAAGAGGTGTGTGACCCTGATGTGGGTGTCAATGGAAATAGCATTATGGCTGGGATCAGGTTGAGTAGATGAGAGGGTGTGGTGAATCTCATTGCCCTCATTGTCCTCGATGGTCACACTCCATAAATCAGAGGTTATCGTTGCAAGTAGAAGACACACACACACACACACAGACAAACACACAGACACACACAATTTTTGGCAGTAAGTGAGGTTCCTCCCCTAAAGGTTTATGCATGTGATTATTGGATTCCTTTATGAGGCATCATCAGCAGGGACCACTCAGACTAGAAAATGGACCAATGGCCATGGCTGCTGCAGGGGACTCTGTCTCACAATAGCATCTCTTTATCAAAAGATGAGCAGGCTGTGGTACATGAATGCATATTTCATGCTTGAAGCCCCATGAGGTGAGAGGTTATTTCAGGTTGTGATGTCACATCTCTATGGCATGTTTTCACTATTCTGACTGTTGTCATCGTGAAGTATTTAGAAAATCAGTAAAAAGGCATGGTGACATGGTGATGCCTTGATACTGACTATTTACCAATTTATTAGGTACACCTGTGCACTCTAAAGTTATCAAGTGTTCAACTCAAGTGTTCAATCGCTCAACCCAACTGATGTGAAGCTTTTGTCCAAATGTGTGTAAATATGGGTGGAAACAAAAACATTACAAACCAAAGTTTACCAAGAGTTGAATTGGCCGCCCTTTGACAAAGTGTCAACGAAACTGATCATCCTTAGCCTGGGTGGGGATGTTATTTTAAGTGCCTTTGCTTAGAGAAAAGCCTGTTGAGCTGGTTTGGTCATTTATTACGAAAAAACAAGAAGAAAGAAGAAATCTCTCGGGACATTTGGGCCTCTGCTCAGACTTCTGATCTGTATAATAGACTAAAAAAATTGCTGAAGAACAGAAGTGGTCACTTAAACAAGTATCCTAAATCGTTTCTAAAATGAACACATTAACTCTTTCTAATGTTCTATGTATGAGCCATAGCCAACTCATTTGAAACCCAAAACAGAATTCCACTGAGCTGTGATTTGACCTGTGTGGAGGTCAAGCCTGCACAGACATGACTAAAATAAAGTGGAAAATGCCAAGTGTTTTCTGGTTCAAAGTTTGAAGTGTGGTTGGCTTTGAAAATAATTCAGTATCATAAAATTAAGTATAAGACAGGCCAAACTCAATATTAGGATTTGCTACAGTATAACTTCCTCTGAAAATGATTTGTTTTTTATTTGTATGTCGTACATAGTTCTCTTAAAAACACTTCAGACTGCCCAGATTTCAAAAACATTATGAAGCAAGTATTTGCTTTAATTTCTTATTCTTTTAAAAATGTGATCCCTGTAGTGCATGTGTAAAGAAATAACCTTGGATTGCATATATCACTGGCACCAATAGGTGGGGATATTGAAGTACAAATAGCTTACTGTGCTTCACCTCTCCCTCGAATTCTCTTTGAATGTGTCCTTTCTGGTATAATGTGAGCATTACTTATAACTGCATGCTGCACTAAGCCCTTATTTATTAAAGAATAAAAGACAACAAAGGCTGAATCATAGCAATATATTAAGAATATGAAAGATGATGAGTTTAGTTCGACCACTCAACGGCGGGCGGCTCACAAGATTAGATTTTTCTCAATTATTTTCGCATGGTGTGACGAGGCAGGAAATTAAGTTATATCTCCCCCCTGTAATTTATTTTTCCGTCGGCCAACTAAATGAAGTTATTGTTTGTGTCTGAAGCGCAGCTTGTTATAAGGGAAACAAAATAAAAGCGCGTGCAGGGCTTAAAAAGGCGAGATCCCCTCCGGTGCCAAACTAAATAGGCAGGGGAGAGTGGGCTGTGATTATCTGACACCACAGCTCATCAATCATGTCGTCTTCTCCTCAGCTACTCCTCCTTGACTAACTAACACCGTTAACCCTGTCCTCATCACTCAACTCGCTGCCTCACTGTTAGGAGGGCCCTCACATTGTTGGTCAATGTGCCATCAACTGGCCCCTGTTATTTTCTGTTCCAAGATATAAGCAGGCCAATGAAATGATCCTTTATAATACGAGAGCATTAAAGTGGAGTGCTGAACCGTGATGAGGAATGATTGATAAACCTGAGAGTAACAACAACATCACACTACAGCAACTGGGAACATTGTATCAAACCTCTGAAGGGAACTGCTGAACAAAAACAATAACCTGAAAGGCAATACCTGATCCCAATCTGGATTCACACTTAGAAGCTCATCAACAATGCTCCAGTGTTTTTGCGTCCACTGAGCGGGTGAATTCTAATGTTAAATAACAACCTCATAGACTGCACTGTTCCCAGGATACTGTATGTTCTGGCTGTAATTAAAGAGCATTACAATGTTTGCCCTCCGGGGGCTTGGTGCCACAATATCTTACTACCTCAAAGTGTACTTTTTGAACAATCAACTCTTTACATCTTGGCTAAATATTGTGTTTGTGTGTGTGGTGAGCCTGCTTGCATGGTCTATAATGTAGCCTTCCAGGCAGAGCATGTAACTAATTTAGGCCAAGTCTGCCTTAACTATGAATGATGGTGATACAGGTCAGATGCAATGCCTCTGCATAGTGGGAGATTGTTTAGAAACGACCCCTCACCCTCGCTGCACATATGCATACTCCCACACACATGTGAACAGACATACACTAAAATATTGCCCCTCACCCTTGCGTGCACAGCCACATCGATGCACACAAACTAACACAACTCATTCTTGAGTCCAGCTAGCAATGGCCTGCGTACTATAATGCCTGAGTGCCAGTGACATGAGACCAAAGCAAAAGAATTAGAGTGGAGGTTGAACCGGAGTGCAATGTCTGCTCCTATTAACCTGCTGAAAGACCCGGCCAAAGCATTTGATGCACTGTGCCATTCAGAGAGAGCAGAGTTTGGCTTCTGGAAATCACAATGTTCTCCAGATGCTCACTGGGTATTTCTCAGACAAACCAGCATTTGTGTAGTACCTGTCTGTTTTTTGTGAATTTATTTTTCAGCTGTTTTATTTAGCCAGGTATTGAACAGAATAACAAAAGTTTGGAATGCTCAAAGTACCTCAGAGCCAAACAGCTTGTCCTGCTCAAACTAGACCTGAGGCGTGCTGAGCGAACTCATTAACATATGTTTTCAGCAAAGTTTCTGTAGCAGGGCAAGGTCACGTCAATACCATCAGGGCACAATGGCTCTGACCCTGTCACTCATACGGGCTAAACCTCTTCATTGTTATTGCAAGAGTCATTCTATGCACAGCAAGGACGTTCTCCTTCTGATTGCATCTATTGCTCATACTGGTACTTACTGTCCATTGCTCCAAAAGGTCATCTTAGATTGTGATGACTGAAAGCTTCACCATTATTGGCAGATAAGGCACCAGAGTTAAATAGCCCCAACTTTTCCAGATGATTAAACATGAAAGATTGTGCGGGACCCCATAAAATCTGTATACTGTTTGGCACAGTATTTGCTTCAACATGTATATAAGACATTGCCAATGTCATCAATCATGTTCATGGTCCTTTCTATGCTGCCATCTATCATTTTTTCAATTATCTTTTTCGTCTTACTTTGCCATATTTTATTATGCTGCTGACGACACCCCAATTTCCCCCCTGAGGATTAATACAGTTTCTGTCCATCCAGGATCTCACTTATCCGTAACTGTGAGAAGCTGCCAGCCCACGAGCACTTCATCGTTCAGGAGTACCTGGACAAGCCCTTCCTGATGGAGGGCTACAAGTTTGACCTGCGAATCTACATCCTCGTCACTTCCTGCGACCCACTCCGCATTTTCCTCTACAACGACGGCCTGGTTCGCATGGGCACAGAGAAGTACCATGCACCCAGTGAGGCCAACCTGGTGAGTCACAGACATAGTACTACTAAAAAAGAATAATTTATTGTGTAGAATTGTTCAAAAATGAAAATAGAAAGTGCCTCACAGAAGCAGCACATATGATCATAGACACATATCTTAACAAACTAATAACAGGACAAACATCTTTATCTGATTGCTATTTGTGCAGTCCCATTTGATGAGTTGTAGGAATAAGTACAACTGTTCATGTATATACAGTACTTAGTGTGTGGCCATTCATAAAGAGACAGATAGTAGAAAAGAGTAATTCAAGGCCTCAAAGATTCATTCATGCTGTTGACATTTACATTCTGAATCAAGAATGTCCACAAAGAAAGGCATGCACCTGTATGCACAGAGCCATCTAGCACCAGCATACATAACATTTATATAACCACATTAACAAAAGATGTTTCCATTTTTATAGAGTGATGAAATCATAAAAAATGACGACTCACATTTGAAAAAAGCTTTGAATATAACACAAAGTGACATCCGAAGCAGCCTTAAGTAGAAGTACATTTGCAGAAAAATGTATTTGCCATGCTCGTCGGAGCCATGGGCTTGTGCAACTCAATGAAATCAAATTCGACACACAAACACACTGGGGGACAGAGGTTAGGAAACACAGTGTAATCTCCATATGATCACACAAACATGCATGTACTCATATACACAGTCAACAGGGCCAACAACTGTTGTGTTCACACACCCAGGCACACACACACGCACACACACAGATTGGGCAAGCAGGCATACTGTATGCACACAGCTGAGCGCAAATGTCCACATGCCAGATGTCTCCAGTAATATCAACCCGTTCATATTTGCCTTGAGGTTCTGCACCTGCTGAAGCACAGTTTGTTGCTGATGATGGGATGTACAAGCACACACACACAGCTCCCTATCAAGCGTGATGCTTATCTACAATATGAACACACGCTCACATCGACATATGGACCCCCTCCTGCGACACAAATGCGTATTGTCTTACCCAGTCTGTGACACGTGATGGAGTGAGGCGTGCCATGGAGATGCATGTTCAATCCCACAGAGAGTGGCTCCTAGACAGCCATCATGGGCTGGAGTGGCCTCCGGTCACGGCGTTATTACCTTGTAGGCTAAGGACAAGGATGTATTGTCTTCAACTGTGAAGGATAGTGTGTAAAGAGAGGGATGCACATTGGCACATTTAAGCCAGGCTCTGTTTGAACTGTGAGGCACTATGGCTCTGACTTATCTTATCACTGAGTGCTTGAGATTTCAGGGATCTATGATTATAAGCTTGTTCTGCTGTTGCGCTCTTTATCTGTCAATCCCATAAGAGTATAAGAACCAGCGTTAGAACAGAGCATTTATAATTCCCATATAACACAGTCAGCTGTTCTTCACTTCTCTTACTACATTTCTTACCCTCTTTAGTCATTTCCTAGGGACACATTTGTGATGTTTTTTCTTTTTCCATTATTTTTGTCTACACATATTACTAAGGAGAAAATGCTTTACTTTACAATTTGTGTATGTGCACTCAGGGAATAATGCATGTATACCCTTGAGGACATAGTTTCCTGTGATGATTATCATCACTGACAAAGGTATAATTTGACTAAAGAGCACCATCAAAGGTACAACAGCCATTTGAGTATAACATATACCCCATGTATTAAAATAACATTTCATTGCATATACAATTGCACCTGCTTCAATGGAGATATTTGCAGCTATTAGTATTATAATGTGGTTACATTGGATAAACAGGAGGAGGAAGCAAGTGAACGAGAGCTTCATTTCTTCTTCAGCCTAGTAAATAAAGGAATTCAGTGGAAAGAAGACGAGAATGATTTGTATGCAACAACAAACAAAACATGCCATCTGGTGCAAATAGATGCATGTTCTCTCTGCATGCTGTTGCTATGACATTCAGTTATTAATGTTGTCACAGCTTATAGCAAGACGTTTACTTGTTTTACAAGTACACCAAGACCAGTGACTCTACATCTGGTCAAATTGTCTTTTTGATTCAAATAAAAGTACATTACTACCAACACATATTGGTAGTAATGTACCAGTGTCAGCAGCCCCTTAAAGCCAGATCTGTGTTCCTATGAAAGAGACATCTCATGTAGTTATCAAATAAATCTAGAAATCATTACTGTCAGGTGTAAACATGCATACGTTGATAATGCATCAAGGCCCTCCTAACTCCAGTTTCTCTCCACAGAGCCAGCTCTACATGCATCTGACTAACTACTCAGTCAACAAACACAACGAGAACTTCGAGCGAGACGAGACAGTGGACAAAGGCAGTAAGAGGTCCATCAGCTGGTTCAACGAGTTTCTCCGCGCCAACGACTACGACGTGGCCAAGTTCTGGGGAGACGTCTCTGTACGTGGGTAGTCCTCCCAAACACACACAAACACAGAAACACAGTTACATGCAGACATATCATGCCGGATGTGTAATTCTACAAAGGATGTGCGTCATGATAACAAAAACACAAGAGACGCTAACACCACATGGAGGCATCTATAAGTGTAATCTGTAAGCATGCCTTCATATATACACATGCTCTTGCTACTAACCAACACACGTTAGAAACAGAACACAAGAGGACCGGCAAAAGGTTTGATATGATTTGTTATGACAGTAACTCAGTGAGCTTCAGAGCTTTGTTTGACTCCAGGAAGAACTCAGCAAAAACATAATTCCTGGAGGCTGAGCTCTCATCCAAACACCTTTACCACAACAGTTTTCTATTCTTATGGACCTGATACATTCACTTTCTTTCCATCCATTTCAATACAGTATATAGCCCTTCCCTATTGTTACTATTCCTTTTTGACTCCGTCCACAGCTATTTGGGTTGTATGGGCCTTCAGTGTTTGTTCTCTGTTTTGTTGTTTCTTGCCACAAGCTATCAACCTAAAAAGTCTAATCCCATTGGCTATTTTGCTCTCTTCTTTACATCAGCTTTTACTTTTCTGTAGGTGGAACAGTGTGGCTTCTGTTCTTTTTTATGTAATGTCATTTTTTAGTTTATTCTCCTTTCTTATCCATCTGATGTCATCTCCCTGTTTGCTCCATTTTGTCATGGCGTTAAAGTTCTAGTTATTTTTTCACTCTTTTGTGAAAGTTTGTTTTTCTTTTATCTATCTTGTCTCACAGGGACACATCAGAGTGTCACCCTCTCTCCTTCTCTTTTCATCTCTCCTCTTACATTTTGTTCCCGTACAGACGTAGCAGGCTGCCCTGACTCTTCGCCAACGGTCTCGGTCAGAGAGTCAGAGAGTTTGTTTGCCAAAAGATTTTCTGAGGGGGTTAAGAATATCGTGTATGTGTTTTTTTCCCCCCAAGTCTCACTGACATCTCTTTCATACTGAGGTACTATTGATGTGCTGTGTAGGGCAGAGTGTCGCAGGTTTGACCAGCAATGCTTTTTTATGTGTGTGTCATTTTGAGAGCAGTGTCTGTCTAGCAATGTGCTAGTTATAGAGGACACAGCTATATAACCGTAACGATCTCTGCACCCAGCAGATACTGGACTGAGAAAAGTGCAGGCTAGCAGTTCTGCATGGGGCTTGACTGACAAGGGAAGGCACAGCGCATATGGTGTGTGTGTGTGTGTGTGTGTGTGTGTGTGTGTGTGTGTGTGAGTGTGTGTGTGTGTGTGTGTGTGTGTGTGTGTGTGTGTGTGTGTGTGTGTGTGTGTGTGTGTGTGTGTGTGTGTGTGTGTGTGTGTGTGTGTGTGTGTGTGTGTGTGTGTGTGTGTGTGTGTGTGTGTGAGCATGTAGTTATCAGTGCATCGAAATAGTTACACTTTGTCTCCTCGGAGGGTACCATTAGATTGACATTAACGCTCATTCTCTGATGCGTTAGTTCTATTGATTTTTTTTTTGGTGGACATTTAGACATTTGTGTCGCTTTGAAGAATACTATTTGTTATCACATCTTTCCAACAAAAGACGTAACCATTTAAATCAAGTTTTTGAGGCTTCTGTTTTTGTGTACAAATGTATATTTACACAATAATATCTCACTTTAAGGCAGTGGTTCCCAAAGTGGGGGGCGCTCCCCCCCTGGGGGGCACAGAGGCATGACAGGGGGGGGGCGCGAGAGACCAGGAGGAAAAATGGTTATTTAAAAAAAAAAAAAAGATTTAAAAAAAAAAGAAAATCATAATTTGAAAAATTATTGATTCGAAAATAATATGATACAGTACAGTACTATTACGTCTGGGTCTCTGTGTTTCATTAAAGCTCGGCTCTGTGTGTGTGTGGAACGAGCCATTTTGTGTGCGTGCGCGAGCGAGAGAGAGAGAGCGCACCGGTACCGGAGATCGTTGTTGTTAGCTTCTGGTGCTAGCGAGCTACGCTAACGGATATAAGGAGTTTTTTCAACAACAAAGTGGAGGAGAGTCCTCTCCTGTCAGACTGAGAGGCTCAGTGAGCTAAAGGACTCTCTCAGTGTTATCTCAGTGGGTCTCAAAAGTTTTTGGTCACCATTAATGTATTTCCGAGGCATACGTTTATATGATCATTATAGTTATAAAAAAATAAGAGAATAAATGAAAAACAGGTATAAAATACTATATGACAGTAAAAAAAGAATAAAGTTTAAAAGGGTGATTTGTAAAATATCCATAAAGAAAAAGTAAATCTGTTTACAGTTCTGTTTCAATGGGTGTTGAGAGAGGTATCCATAGATCTCTTCATTTTGCTCTCAAAGTGCACCAGATTGATGCATTTAACTTCAATATTTAAAAATAAATCTTCCTGGGGGAGCTTGCCCCCGGACCCCCCTATGTGAGGTCCACACACCACCTATAAAAATAGCACTTTACCCCCGCTTACACCTATATGCCGTGAGCTGATTATCGAGCCTTCATTGTAACAGTCGCGGGTACATTGTGTATATGTGTGGGGATTGTTGCAGTAGAAAATTCAACTGTAGCGACCGGTACATTAATGGGAAACCCTAAATGTTTGAGCACCCTCTATGAAACGTCAAGCTACCCCACAGCACCCCCCAAAAAAATCTCTGGCGCCGCCACTGAGCCTGACTTGTGTTGGGGGGGCCCGACTTTTTTTTTTCTCCATAAAAAAAGGCCCCCCACGCCGGACAGAAAAAGTTTGAGAACCACTGCTTTAAGGAATGAGCCCTTAATTCTTATTCCAAGCAGTTAATGCCTTCAAAATTAAACAGTTTTCAATTATCAGTTTAGTTTGATCTACTTTAATTCGTATTCAAATATGTATTATTTACTTAATCCTGCTCATAGATTAAAGTGCACCTATCATGCTATTTTTAGGCAATAGCATAGGTCTATAAATATAAAAAACATGTCTATGAAGTGTTTTGCTCAAAATACCAAACAGATCACCCATTATAGCCATGCCTCATATCCCTCTATTTCACTTCCTTTTTCAAAAGTGCTGATTTGGGGTATAAAGCTTTAAAAAAAGTAAATTGATAAAAAAAAAAGAGGAGGAGGGGACTGAGCTCATGCGGGAGATTCTACCGGCAGATACTCCGGTGATGAAATACCATATCATGGATTATCAAGGATTATTTCTGAAACAGTATGGAGCTCAAAGGCTTTCTCTCTTGCCGGTTATACCACAAGGTGAATTCCTTTTTATATCCTGCTTCTTCACACACATGCTCTCTCCAGTACAGGTTAGCTCTGAGTGTTAGCGATGCTAATGTGAACACCGACCATATTACGTCCAAAACAGTCAGGCATTGTTTCTGATAGCAACGTTTCTGATATTACGTCATATCGGACGCAAATCTGGATCAGCTCCGTTGTAGCCCCGTTTTTAGAGATTTGGGTACGGAGGAAAAGAGAGAGGGTTTTATTTTCTGACGCTGCGTGAGTTCCCCGACACACCGGGGACACATATTTATGTATAAAAGACATCAAAAAGTGCATTTTGCATGATAGGTTCCCTTTAAATATCAGACATCTTGCTGTGTCTACTACACCGAGATAGAAAGAGAAGGGACACACGTCTGGGTAGCTTAGGTAGAGCTAGAGTCTTTGCTGCAGCAGCTCGGGTTTGAATCTGGATTGAAGCCCTCTCTCTCCTACTCTCTGTCCATGGCTGTTTTACTAATTAGAGGCAAAAAGAAGAAGTTACATTATTGATGAGAGATACGATAAATGCATTATACATACAGTACATCAAATAGCCTACATGATAATAATATAGAGCTGGTATGCATGAAAATAAATAAAAATATAAAATATTTCAAAGAGGCTTATAAACCCATTCCAACCCAAAGCTTACAAAACAGAGGCAGTGCTCGGCAGTGGCTACTGGGCTGGGGGCTCAGGATAAGGAGAGAGTTTATGGGGGCAAGGACAGCACACACACACACACACACACACACACACACACACACACACACACACACACACACACACACACACACACACACACACACACACACACACACACACACACACACACACACACACACACACACACACACACACACACACACACACACACACACACACACACACACACACACACACACACACACAGATATCAGCCAGTACTGGGGACTTCAGGCATTAACTGTAGGGGGAGCAGGTGTTTGTGCTGGGCAGCCTGTGGGTCAGACGGGTGGATGGATTGAAAGACGGAGGTGTGTGAGCAACAGACACATTGAAAAGGGAGGGGGCTGCCACCTTATCAGGCCTGGGCCAGACCACCAAACCCCTCTCCTGCACCCAGCAGTCAGACTGAGCCGGGCAGACTGCAGGCCAACAGCTCTGCGTGGGGCTTGACTGTTGAGGGGAAGCTTTGTGCAGAGTGTGTGTGTCGGAGTGAGCATGTTTACACCAGCTGCACAGTGGGAGTAAGCAGGCAGGTAGCATCCAGCACACACACGGAAACAGGTTAGGAGCCATCAGCCACACTGATGGACCACCACCAACCTGGTGAAAGTGTGTGTATGAGGGACATTTAAAAGGTTCTGTGCCAGTAACACTTTCTGTTTCTCGTTGAATTTTAAACTGAGTATTTTGGGACTCAGGAGAAGGGGTTGCAGTCCTACCTCCTTAAAGCAGGACTGTATCTCATGGGTCTTGAACGTGTCATGATTACTTAATTGTCAGAGTTTAGTCATAAATCTAAAGGTTCAAGCATTTGTTTGCAGCCACAATTAAAACCGGATTAATTGCAACATTTTCAGTTAAAGAAGCCTTTTATCAGCTGCTCTAAAACGTTCCTTTTTCAGGATGAAAGCAACTGACTAAAAACAAAGTAAGAGTCGCGCTCACTCTGTCAGCTCAGCTCGGTCATTCTCTCTCTCTTTGTGTTTGTGTCCTGCCAGGAGCTGGTGGTGAAGACCATAATAGTGGCAGAGCCCCACGTGCTGCACGCCTATCGCATGTGTCGCCCCGGACAACCACCAGGGAGCGACAGTGTCTGCTTTGAGGTGCTGGGCTTCGACATCATCCTGGACCGCAAACTCAAACCCTGGCTACTGGAGGTACAACTCAGTCTGTGTGTGTGTGTGTGTGTGTGTGTGTGTGTGTGTGTGTGTGTGTGTGTGTGTGTGCGTGCGTGCGTGCGTGCGTGCGTGCGTGCGTGCGTGCGTGCGTGCGTGCCCGTTATTCAATTATAATTTTTTTATACTTTATATATGTAAAGTATAAATACAAAACAATTTTTTTTATATATATAAAAAACTATTTTGATTACATTTATTGTAAAAAAAATATATATATATTTAATACTTGAATACATTATAATTAAAATGTTATTTATTCATTTTTGTAAAAGTAATATTTATAAATGTCCTACTTTTACGTACCGGTAGTATATTATTCCAATCATATTCTTTAAAATGTATAAAATAAAAGATAGTGATAGTACTGTAGGATATTTAGATTTACATTTATGATATTGTGTGTGTGAGTGTGTGTGTCTCACTGTGTGTGTGTCAGCCAGAAAGAGGCTGGCTGCAGTCTGTGCAGTCTCACCTGTCTATGCAGCGACTAAAGTGACAGCGGCTCCTAAACTGAAGTAATGATGCATCAGCAGGAGAGAGAGAGATGTTGCTCCACACTGACAGAAAGCATAAACACACACTGATTTTGCTTACACACACCCTTCCCCGGTGCAGAGAAACACACAGAAACACCAACAATGTCTCAAGTATGCATTTATGCACATCGGAACATAAGCAGAGACACATTCCCGTGTAAAATAATAGGAGTGTAAACGACAACGAACATGCACACACAATGAGGTGAATATGTGCATGCATACACAGCTGCATAAAAGTCACAACAAAACGTCTCTTTCTCGTTTATAGGCAGAATCACAGTAGGAAAATATAGGTCAGAATAGCAGGTTGAGTAGATACACCACCGCGCCTCATTCTCTCAGTGTCAGTCTCTCAAGTGTCAGTCATTCAGGAGATGGATTCGAGTTCAGAGTCCACTCCAGGATTTCTGTCTCACTGTTCTGATATCAGTCAGTTAAAGCGTGACCTAAATCCTTTCACCCAAAGTGGCTGCGCGCCTTTTTCCCCCTCTTCCCCACAAATTGACTGAAGGATGGGAAATGCCTCTGGGATAATTGTTTTCCCCCATTGTGACAGCTCAAAATAAATCTTGCGATTTTCAGAAAGCCCCTGATTTGGATAAAAGTGGCATTTTGATAGTTTGTTGGTGTTTTTAGAAGAAAGTCGTAGTCGAATTAGGGTGTTATAATTACCTGACGCTTTACGTGTGGTTGCGTCGTTGTACTTCATGACAAAAGGATGTACAAAAGGGAGCAAGAAGGTGGTGTTCCTTCTGACTGCTGGTGCACAGCGAGAGTAAGTGTGTGTATGTGTGTGTGTGTGTGTTTATGTATGTATGAGACATGGGAAACAGCCGTGAATGCAGTTGTTCCACTCCAGCAGTAATGATCCCCCCTGTGCTACTAGCAGCTCTCTATAACTCTCATCAATTAACATCCCACGCACACACACACACACGCACACACAGCCCTGCTTCTCTTTCACGCAACATTTACAGCAACAATCATTTATTTCCAAAATTCAACTGATTAGTCGGGGGATAGTTGCAAGCATGGAGACCACTTCTCAAATCCTCACTGCGTACGCTGTCAAGCCTGAAAATAACTTTATTACCACTTTTTAGCCTGTCAACGTTCTTTTCTATTCTGCAGGGATGCAGCCGAGCCCATAGGCTGGTTTCCACAAACTGTACCCTATAGCAAGCCCTCAGGTCCAAATTAAAATGTGAAGCAGATCGCTTTGCGGAATTTTGTGGTAAATTGAATCTATTTCACTGCGTTTCACCATTTTCTTTTTTTTATGTATTTCTGCCACCCCTTTGAGTTACAAAACAGTAAAACTTGTGGCAGGAATTGCAACACAATCTAGACCTTACAGGTTTGTTTTGAATTTGCGGACTCCAGCTCTCAGGTTTCTTATTGGTGTCACTGTGAATTACGTGTGCCACGCCTCGTTGGGGCTTTACCCAGACTGCTGTTCCGACAATGTCTTCCTCTCTTACTCTTTAAAACGTCAAAGTTGGTTGCTGGACATGCAGACTCGCAGCCAGGAAATGAGAGTTCAACCTGTGTAAACTCAAAACCAGTCGGGTACCTGAAAGCTAGATGGTATCATATATAAGAAACTGTCAGATGACATTAATCCTGCCCTTTGTATTTGTATTTTTGTTTGTCATTTCCTGAGTGTATGTAGTAGGCTGGTGAGGGAAAAGGAACATGATTGCCCCTCACATCCTCCAATGTTTTTTTCAGACAAGGTATTCAAAATAGTGCAAGTCCCATGATTAGAGGACAACTCGCCTCTATCCAACATTTCAATAAAACTTCTGTGCAAGATACAATTCGCCAGCTGTTTGTAAGAGAACATGCACAAAGACATCATTGCAAATATACTGATAACGAACAGTGAGACTCGGGAGGCAAAAGCCACAGAGCAGCGCCCACCTGCTAAATAGCTTGTCACAGGGGTGAAAACAGAGAAGGCTGGAGTGAGGATTCTCAAACCAAGGCTAGGCATCAAATAGGCGCATTGTGCTGAGAGCAGGTATAGCAGGGGAGATAAAAAGAAGGTAAAAAGAGAGAGACGGGCTTTTGTGTGATCCTTATCTTAATTCAGCAGGGTTTTCAACACTAGTTTTACCTCCTATTGACATTCAAAACATCAGCGCTACACACACACTTGCTCAAATGGTGTAACCCGAGACATTCACTTTCATTAAACCAGCCCAGACAGCATCTGTGTCTCGTATAGGCAAGGCATTTCATTGAGCCGTGTTCTTCGCTTCACACAGACACACACACACACACACACACACGGACACATTCACACGCACGACTGCCTAAGACTTTGGTTTGTGTTGCCAAGGCTTTTGCTTTGAGGGCTCTATTGAGTGTTTGCTTTGTCTTTTGAAAGCAAAATAATAAAGAAAAGCAAAACAAGAAATACAATTGACAACATAATTGATGCAAAAATAAGTATACGTTTAATATAGCCTAGGAACACTATTATGATACAGGCTTTGCTCATGAATTCTGCTCAAACGTGGTGGTGCTTTAAAATTGGGGTGTTGGGTCAAACCGAACAGCAGCCGTCTCCAAAACCAGTATGAGCCATAAGGACTGCATTAACTCAATGACAGAATATAGCAATCAGACAGCATTATCACCCCCGCACCCCCTCTGTCAAGTTCATCCAGGGCCCATTTGCTGTAAGCCGGCATGACAAATAACGTCAAATGGAGTGAAGAAAATGGGAAAAATATACTAAAGGTTTGGTGGGTGATGGTCTGGGACAAGAGGAATACATACACACACAAAAAAACGATTCATTTAAATGGTCTGTCCTTTGTTACTGAAACTGAACCGACATAGGAAAATGCATTGTTCTCATGGGGTACTGATTGGTGTCCATGGACAACAACACAAAGACAGGTTGATTGAAGCCCAGCCTCATTACAGACTCATTTCATTAAAAAAAACAACACAGAAAGCAAATACGCTTAAGCTGGTAAACTCTAAAAAGGAAGAAACAACTGTTTGTAGGAAGCACACATAATTAGAAAGCCATCTCTCTAGTGTCAGGCTGCATGAAGGCTGGTCGGTCTGCTTGTTAGGGCCACAGTCCCCTTGTGTGTGTGTGTGAATCTGAATTAGATTTATGCTGTGTCAGTGTGTGTGGTGTTTGAATAGGTGCATACTGTAGGTACTGTATGAGTGTTTGCCTGCAGTATAAACACACATGTAGTATGAAAGCCACCACATGCAACTGGGGGTGCTTCTGTGTCTCGTGTGAATGTGTCTACACTCAGTGTGTGGGGGTGTGTGTATCTAGACGTGTGGTCTTTGTCCCTCTGGGAATAGCCCTCTGTGGTGTGTGTGTGTGTGTGTGTGTGTGTGTGTGTGTGTGTGTGTGTGTGTGTGTGTGTGTGTGTGTGTGTGTGTGTGTGTGTGTGTGTGTGTGTGTGTGTGTGTGTGTGTGTGTGTGTGTGTGTGTGTGTGTGTGTGTGTGTGTGTGTGTGTGTGTGTGTGTGTGTGAGAGCATGCTTGGTCATCCTGATCTACCTACCTTACCCCCAGCCCGTCTTTTTATCGCGTTCGAGTAATGGAGTATCATGCTTAAAACACTGAAACAGACCAATTCAGTGTCTAATGAAATAAAGCAAGGAGGAAACACGTTATTTTCCAACTTTCATGGTGTTTTACTTAATGTAACGTTTCCGTATTGAGACACTATAGGACACGGAGCTTAGGCAGCTCGATTATTGATAGCTGCAACGTACTGTAACTACCATCTCCTCATCCATCTCCTTCCCTTTCTCTCCCTCCTGCTCCCCCTTTAGGACGGCATGTGCAGAGTGATTGGCAGCTAATGAGGCGGGCATGGTTAGGTCAACCGTGGCACTGGTTTGTTTGTGTCTAACTGTGTTTGTGTGTGTGTGAGTGAATGGGCTTCACGACAACAGACCAACAGACTGCAGCTGGACTGCTCCCCTAAGGGCGGTGATTCCTCACCCCACCTCTCCCTCCCTTCTCCCTTCCTGCAACTTTCCTCTTTCTGGGCTCTGTCCCCGATTGTTTCAAGATGAGTTTGGTTTGCCTGTCCATCCCTCAGAGCCAACATAATCCAGACTTCCTTTTCTTTTGAGTGCAAGTGTATGTGTGTGTGTGTGTGTTTATGTTGGGGGTGTGTTTGTGGAGAGTAATCTGCGCTGGCAAGTGTAAACAGATGCCACGATACACATAGAAACAAACACATGGATATTTTTTTTTCTCTCTCTTACATCCCTCACACACGTTAACAGAGACTGTAAATTAATTACAATGACTGAAAACACTGTGGACTTGCTGTGTGGAATAAATTGCACCTCACACTTATGAAAGTTTTCGATTGAAATTCTATTTCATCTCTGCAGTAGGAGATGAAAATGTTATGTTATGACAGCCTTCCCATAAAAGTTTGAA